CATGCATGTAATGGGCCCAACAACTGTTATTCAGAACAGTGCTGAAGAAGAAGATGATACAAGTGTCAGGGGTCATTGTTTAGAGTCCGGGTGTGTGGACATTATATTCTGCATTTCCCCTGGCATTGAATTCGGCCAAGGCGACCATTGATTTTAAAGTCATATATTGTAGGATCTACAGCTGTCATTAGGATACGGGATTTTACGTTCCAACAGCTTCCTTGGCCTACTTGGCCGGGTATAATTGAACATCAACAGTACTATCTGAACATGCCGAATATAGATAGGATGACTTCGGCTCTGGAATATTTTGGCTATTTCCGGAAAAGTGGAGGAATTTCTTCCAGTCTTGATCATGTGAACATGGTGATACCAGACCGGACCCTTGTGATTCGTAGAGTAGGCATGATCATCGCATCTGGTATCCAGACTTTCCAGGAAGGCAACATCCATGACATTGACATCGTTCCGACACTGCTGTTCCGACACGTTCAAAGACCATAATTTTTTCAACAGAATACAAACAAATAATGTTCAAGGAGATGCCCTGATAACTAAAAATTGATAAGACAGCATTAAACCACCATATTATATGAACCCAGTTGCACAAAATTTGAAACAAATTCTGAAAAGGTGATTTAAAAAAAAACACAATCAGATATGAAAGAAAATACCTCCATGGTCTTTCTCGTTTTAAAATAATTTCTCCAGTTTATCTTAACAAACTAAATAAAGTGCCGTGCATATTAGACCCGATAAAAACATCGGTATTATTTTCAAGGTATTGTGAATTGAATATTTTGCATTAGAAAATGAGAATCATTTGCCCGTAGTAGTGCATGTATACATGTAGGTATACGTGCGTTGATGGAGTACATGCACAGTACATGTACATGAACGTGTACATGTGCACACATAAATCATGGCTGACCAGTTGACAGAGAGCCAAAATTGAAACTAATCCAACTAACAAAGGACAATTTGCAATAGCTTAAAACATAACATGGTAACCTTTTTTCAAACACTCTTTCAACACATTCAATTATCAAGATATGCAGCATGTGTGCAAAAACTGGAGAACAATTCAAATTTTTGAGTATAAAATACCCTTTTTTACATTCAGAAATGTAATGTACACTGACATCTTTCACCCCATTTCCTCCCAAATGTCGCTTATGATTAACAAGAGACACATCACAAACTGAAATCTGAAGCCTGATTATATTTAACAAACTTGATAAACTAGATTTTGGTGTACATGTAGTTGTTTGCTGGCTGGAGTTGCCATTTTAATGAGCAACAGAAAGTGACCACGACTTTGCCGAATTTTAGCGCATGTGCAGAAACTAAGTGGAAGGGATTAACATACATGTCCAGGCCTAGGCCTATGTTCATGTAATGCATTGCCATAGGCATACGCCTACCTGCCTAACCCCTAGCCTACATGTAGGTTGGACGTTGTCTTCATTCACACAATGCAATATAGACGACATCGACTGGGCAAGGCCTGCCCCCAGAACTCTGGCATTCGCTTCTGTGGGAGAATGGTCACCATCATGACCATGTCCATGGTGGTAGACGCAACATGTACATGGGGCTGAGGGATCCAAAATTTTTGATAGTTTTAATGTTCATACTTCTTTAGCCTAACCTTCAATAAGACAAGGCCTTTCTCAGGCTCCTCTTTGGCATTTCACGTGCTTTCAGAAGAATAAGGAAGGGAAATAAAACTTTAAGCTGCAGTATGTCATGTTTTTGTGTATTCTTCCTCCCCCGGCCCCTTTAATTGTTTGTCTCGTGCTCATTTAGCGGGCTGTGGCCCCCTCCCTTTGTTATGCCCCAAGTATGACCTCAATCCCAAACTATACTTGGGCTGTAGTTGGGCCAGCTGAAGACGGCCCTGACTAAACTTAGTACCAGCCCAAGTATAGTTGGGGTCGAGGCCATAGTTGTGACATAACAGCCCTCTTGGGACATGCCAATGCTTGGGTGATGTAGTTCTGGAATCCAAGATTTATCTGAGCTTTGAACTTTGAAAGTATCTTTTTGTATTATTCTTGCTGTTTCAAGGCAGATGAGATAGAAGCATTGACAGCAATATATGAAGATGATTGGTGTGTAGTTGATGAGGCCAACCGGATTTATTGCATCGCTATCACCCATCATAATGAACAAGATAAAACCAAAGATCTGAAGATTTGTTTGCAGGTATGTACATGTAAGTGCTGTGTGATCTGATCTGTATCCTTAAAGCTTGAGTAGAGCTTTGTGGTTTGGACATTTTCTGGTTCTGCTTCTAGATATCTTGACTTGGTTTGCCCATCATAAAAAAACGACAAATTTACCAGAGCTTGTAGGTTTATCAAGCCAGTAACTTGGGAAATAAAGTTTCAGTGCTGAGCCAGTTTCTGCTGATACATGTAAAAATCTAATTTGCTATAAAATCCAACAAACTTAAGTGATTTGTTGTTTTTATGAACAATGAATGTTCTGTTGATGATCTTACAGTCAAGAAACATAAATAGTTGGAGGTGATACACTATCTACATATATCTTTAGCTCAGGAGACCTTATTCCTGAGGATGCCATTTTTTTATCTTAAATTATTAATTGTTGAATGGGGTGGTATCAGACCATTTTAAAATGCATGTGGGTTCTAAGCCTCCCTTTCTGTTTTTTAAAATCTGGCATAAAACACTAAGGTAAGAGTAGACAAGTAGTAATTTGACAGGAATTTTCATTTTATTATTTCATTGATGCTTTCAATTCATGAAAATGAAGACTCATCCTCACTTTCAATCTTAATATGGCCGAATCATGAATAAGGTCCGTTGATCAATCCTGCCTCTGTTTGTTGTCCTGAAGCCCTGGAGTTACATGTATCAGATTGTTCTGCAGGCAACCTTCCAGTTAAAAGTTGTTCAGTGCCCAAGTTCAACACACAACCCAGGTAACATAGTGCCAAATGATGCAGGTTTTGAAGCAGCTTGTTTATTCAATTCATTCCAGATTTGCCTGCCTCCTGAATACCCCAATGCAGCACCCCCGGTCTATCAAATCAAGTAAGACCCCCCTCCCAAAAGCAAGGATCAGTAGCTTATTGAACATGCTCGTGGAGTTGTTAATTTATTAAACGTAAGACACATGTTTCAAGCTTATTCTGTTTGAGTTTTTCCTCCTTAAGCAGCTCTTGAATAGACATGTTTTACAGTCCATGACACTAGACTTGTAAGCCTTTTTGTTTGTAGAGAGGGGAGTTGGGAAATACATAACTTCATGAAAAGATGACTTAACTTATATAATGTGGTTCAAGTGAGGAGAGGCAAGTTTTGTAAACTGAGACAGGTAATAATGTTATTTCATTTGATTTGTCTTTGCTGCAGTGCACCGTGGCTGAAAGATGCTGAGAGACAAACAGTGGTTACAACTCTGGAGCAAGTCTGCAGGTCAGAGAATTCTTTCAAAATCCAGTGAAAGGTTTTTCCTGTTTCCATTCACTTGTTTCCAATGCCTTAGAGCAAAAGACTTGAGAAGTTAATCCACAGATCCAAGAAGTCTTTAAAAACATTTTTGAGAAAGCAGCACATTCCTGTTTGTAATAGAATGTTGCCTTTCTCATGATTGATTGTTACTGACTTACAAAAGTTTACCTTGGATGAGAGTGATATTCTCTCTCTACATGTGCTCTTGACACGTGTTTTACAGTGAAAACTCTGGTGAATGTGTGCTTTACTTGCTCTTTGAACAACTCCGAGAATACCTTTTGGATAGAGCGCAGAAGGCGGAGCAGGTTGATGGTATGTATGTATTTTGGGGCATTTTCTGTGTGTAATTAGGTCAAAATGTTTTACTTTTGTAAACGACTTCATATTTGCTTTTATTGGTTTGGGATGGAATCAGTTGAGAGTCTGAATCAAAGGCAGACTTTCAGCATGTTCAGAGCTTGCTTCAGGGAACCTGCATGTATGCTGACTCCCATGCCCTTGTGCACCACTTAGTTGAGAGTTAGCGCATGTGCACTCTATCACTTTACTGTGGATTTTGAGGCAGGCCACATCGGACATGGTTCCAACTCTTCTTTCCTCGGATGGGAACCTTTATTTATTTTTAACAAAATGCAAACAAATGAAGTTCACAGAGATAACTTCATAACTAAAAAATGATCAGAAAACAATAAACCCCCGTATTATAATGAACCTAGTTGCACAAAATTGGAAACGAATTCTGAAAAAGTGATTTTTACTAAAAGTAAAAACAATCGGATGCGAAAGAAAATATGTCCACTGTCTTCCCATTTTAAAACAACTTTTCTCCAGTTTATCCAAATAATTTTCAAGAGGTATTTTTTTTGCGTTGGGGAGATGTTAATTTATATAACAGGTTTTGCCCTTACCCAACATATATATTAATAGACACTGTATGCTCAGTGCTTGTCCGAGAGCTTGCGAAAAAAGTCACAAGCTTACTCGGGTGGGACTCGAACCCAATTAATAACATCCCAATGCAAAAATACATCTTGAAAATAGTTTGTGGTACCAGCTGCTTCACCTGTCTCGGACCGGCCAGCTGACCCCGGCAAGCTCGGTGGTCGAGTGGTTAAGACGTCTGCACTAGTAAGCAGGAGGTCGTGGGTTCGACTCCCACCTGAGTAAGCTTGTGACTTTTTTCGCAAGCTCTCAGACAAGCACTGAGCATACTGTGCTTATTAATGTATAAGTTGGGTAAGGGCAAAGCCCGTTATATAAATCATCCAAATAAGTTTATCTAAACAAATGAAATAAAGTGCCATGCATGTTAAGACCCGATAAAAGGTCGGTAGTATTTTCAAGTTATTGTGAATTGAATATTTTGCATTAGAAATTGAGAATCATTTGTATGTAGTAGTGCAATTATACATTTACGTGCATTGATGGAGTACATGTACTCTACATGTACATGTGCACACCTATATCATAGCCAACGGGTCGACCGAGAGCCAAAGTTGAAATTGATCAAACTAACAAAGGACAATTTGCAGTAGCTTAAACGTAACATGGTAGCAGCGTGTGTGGAAAAACTGGAGAACAATTCAAATTTTTGAGTTTAAAAACCCTTTCTTACGTTCGGAAATGTAACGTAAACAGACATCTTTCACCCCATTTCCTCCCAAATGTCACTTATGATTAACAATCTGAAATCTGAAGCCTGATTATATTTCTCTGGAATAAATTCAGCAAACGTTTACATAATGCGGAAAATCTCTGCAGATGAATATTGGTATAGTCGTTTGCTGGCTGGCATCGCCATTTTAACAAGCAACAGAAAGTGACCATGACTTTGCCAAATTTCAGCACATGTACACTAAGTGGAAGGGGTGAACATACTTGTATGTTGTCTTATGTTACATTTACCAAGCTTTCCTTTACAGTAAACAGCTCTTCCCATCACGACAGCTCGTCGCTCTCATCGGATTTGCACTCCAGGCTTGCCTTCCCGTCAGCCACTGACTGCGAGATACCTGCCATCAAGCATGGGGAGCCAATCACAGACCGACGCAGTACATTCCAAGCCCACTTGGCTGCACCAATCAGCACCGCGCAACAGGTAGGTTGGTCATCCTGCCCAGATATGATCATCTTCATCTCAAACCATCGACAAGTGAACAGTTTAGAAAACCACAATCATAGGCCAATTTTATAGGTCTGAACCGTCTGATAATATGAAAACATTACTAGATTTTGATCCAAAGGATAAAAAAAATGGAAACCAATCCATGTACCGTCCGTTGCGTGCTGGAATACTTTGTACATGTATGTGGGAGCTTCACACAGATTTGAAGAATTTGCCTCATCACTTTGTTGGCCTCATGTTCCTATGGTTTGCTAGTAAGGCCCTTGAGGAGTTTGTAGCATAGAATTACACCACAAACCAACTTCTTCCCAGTGGTTCACTCTACATACCCTGAATACCCTCAGTGAATATGTATGCTTGAGATTGTTTTTTTTGGTTTAGTTCAGATGATAGTGACATTACAAAGACCTTGCATGAACCGATTTGATTGCAATAGTCATATCATGGTTTTTCATGACAATTGAAGTGTTTTCTTTCAGGTCACTCAGGTACGCCGGATGTTGTTAGAAAATAGGAAGATAGCCAACGCAACCCACAATATCCTGGCCTACAGGTACGCGTTGCCCTTTATATTAATACCGTGAACACAGCGAGGTGGTAAAATACATGTATTACTGTTATGGCCTTGGCTGATTTCACACCCTAATCCACTGTAATCCACTGTAATCCACTGTAACCTGGAGTAAGCTGTTCTTAATTTTTTTATATGGATTTTGATTTTTGCTTCTCTGGAGAGAATGACAGAGCATTCTGTTGTGATATTTCAGGAATTTTTACTTTTATCCATAATTCTCTCAAATCTGCTCAACTCTTGGGTTTTCATGACTTGGATGGACTCAGAACTCTACATGTACATTTGAAGCAGACACTTTCCTGAAAATAATCCAGGAGGTTAAGGCCTGAGATGCTGATGCCTGGATTTAAGTCACATCTCTTTAATTTGTGTCTTCTTCCTTATTTTAGGATATACTGTGAAGATCGCGGTACCTTCCTTCAAGACTGCGATAATGATGGGGAAGCTGCCGCTGGTCCAAGGTTGCTACATCTGCTTGAGGTGGGATACAAGACTGTCGCATTTAGAGAATGCATGTAGATCACCCACAGTGAAGGGCGGAGCCAGTAAGAGAATAGGGGATGAAAGAGGAATTTTTTTCCAGTGTGGAGTGCTGCATTTGCTCCTTCTTTCCCAATGTCTGAAATGTGGATCATGAAAAGAAAACTGAAACGAGGCTTTTCAACCTCCCAAAGCCAAGTTTGAAAATAAAGTGGCTACGTCTGAGATATTCTCTCGGTCTTTTCAGCAAAAGAAAGAGCTACTCACATACATGCTACTTGTGTATATGCTACTGGCATACATGTATCTACAGGTGCTCAGGATGTTCAGAGGGAGAGTAACAAGCTCTAAAATTTTATTCAACACTTTTAGGGAAATCAGGAAAAACTTTTATATCGAGGTATTTTTTATTTTATTTTTACAATATCAATATTTTCCCATTGTTTACTGTTCATTTTAATCAAAGATCTTAGATGTGCAGAATGTGATGGTAGTTGTAAGTCGGTGGTATGGCGGTATAATGTTGGGTCCAGATCGCTTCAAACACATCAACAACGCTGCCCGAAACATCCTGGATGAGCATGGGTATATACAAAAGGTAAAACTGGGCCTTTGAATTTTATCTTAACACGTTGATTGCTGCGCATAATTTCAAAGGGGCATTCCCATTTGCCAAGTCTTGTACGCATGTATGTTTAATAGATACCTTTCATGTGTCAATTTGAACATGAGCATTTTACAGATGTATGTCTTCAACACTACCAGCAGCGTATTTGTTGTGTGCTTTGGTGACGCCAGTTCATTCAATTTACATCACAACAGCCTTTCATTCAGTATACCCGTAGTCGGCAGTCAGTGTGTTAACCTTTGGTTGTATTGGCAATACCTATCTTGTCTTGCCTTTCAATTGTGTTCCTGCTCAGCAAATTTTATGTGTTAACAAGAGTTAGCAGAGCACCAGTCACATGGAGTGTGCATACACATACATTAACTTTTGGCTGGTATTAAACTTATTTTTGCTTAGCAAATATTGTTCGGGCATGCCAATCTTAAAGCTTATTAACCACTCTGTGAAATGAGCCAGTTCAGTATTTCAAAAAGGCAAGGTCTTTCAAGAATAAAGCACACACTAGTTGGCATTTGGCTGTGTTGATGTCTCCTTGATATCAAAAGTAAATTTGGTTGCATTAGGTAATGGCTTATTTGTCTTGCAAGTCTGCGTTCTGAAAAGAACCCTGCAGAAACTGAACATTTTTGGCCATATGCCAGATCTGTTTGTAGGGAATGACTGACCAGTTACTGACTGAATACTGACTTTTCCTTCAGAACCATATCAGAGATGTACTGTCTTATGGCACTGCCGCACATGTACGCTGCTTGCTGATTACACCATGGAAGTATTGTCTCATTCTCTTATTGCTTCTGATCTCCATCTCAGAATGAGGGAAGATCCAAGAAGAAGGGAAAGCAGAAAAGCAGATGATCACCTGGAGAGTCAGCTGATGTGTAAATTCAGCGGTAGACCAGCACCACGATGAATGGGTAAGATGACTCAAGATGACTCGGAGTACTCGAATGCGCACACAGAGATGCTTACATGTATGTGGTGGAACCGCGGACGCTTCTGAGAATCATTTTCCTTACAGCGTGCCCCTCCATGCTGCTGCACAAACGTTGGCTTCTGGTGCCAATCCGTTTGTATTTTTCCCATTCTCAGTCAGGAATTGCTCCTGTTTGGAGTCTGTGCAGGAAATCTGTGTGATCTTTGTTACATGCCGAGATAATCCCTTGAGAACACACACACTTACCTTACATACCTACTGTGGACATTCCTTTCTTTTCATGCAGTTTAGAAAACTCAGTGAAAATACTCATTTTTCTTGAACTGGGAACATGGTTTTTCAGCTGGCTTTTTGTACAAGGTTTCCTTGACTATTCCTCTTCCTTTTATGACAGATGACCCCTACCACAAAATGCCTCTAAACTTTTTCACAGAAGGGGAAACGTCCTGTGGATGTTTGTAAGTCCACAGAACATCTTCCTTTCCTGCACCATGTGGACATCTTTTGTTCACAAGTCCACACTAGGTAGGTAAGGTTAGCGCAGTGTGCGTACTGTACTGTGTGCGTGTGTTGCACTAGTACCCAGAACATTTTGATTTTAAGGGATCGCCACCAAAATAGTTTTGCTTACTCTGTTACTTCACGTTGTTCACCCACTATCCTTTGTGCTTCTGAACAAAACTCCCATGCCCATAGGTGTCTTTTAAATATTCTCTACAGAAAATTTATATTCCAAATTATGCCTGTTACCTAAATTTAGTAGTAGTAAATCCCGTCTCAACCATGAGCAGAAAACAAATGGTTTTTATGGCCTCCAACGAACTATGTTGCTTTTTAAGTTGACGCAGGAGGATTTACCAATGGAAACTTTTTTGCCATTTTTGAACACTTTTATTAACCTAACTGAGCCCTTGCCTCATTTCAAACGACAAAATAAGAGGGCAAATACTAACTCCAGGAAATGTGGCATGCATCGCATTACATAATTTATTTCTTCATGTGCCTTGAAAAACAAACATTTTCAAGAAAACTGAGAAAAAAAAATTTGGAAAAATAAAACCCAAATCTGTAGATTTATAAACAAATTGTTTTTTCTTTCCATTCTACATTCTGCATTTTAATTAGTGAAGTCATTACAGAAATCGGAGCTTTCAGCCCCGATTATAATTGAATGGTAACATCTGCTGCTACAATTATATACTACACCTACAAATACATGAGGACATATACAGATATATATACACAGTTGAACAATATAACAAGCATTACGTCTAACGGCATCCTTCCATTCACACCACTAACCTCCCCAATCTCTCCAAAGCCCTAGACTCGCTCTGTTTTGTACCAAAAAAATAAAAAAAATTGATCACTGTCTGGTTCGTCAGAGATTTTGTCATGCTCATTGTACTGATTCGGATCACCCATTGGCCAATAAGCCACCTTGGCATTACTTCTGACTGCAGTTGTCCCATTGTCACAATTCCGTGAGTAGGCGAGGTTAAAGCTGCAAGTAATGAACTGGACAGTGTCAGATTTTGGTGGAGTTGAAAAGCTTCCTTGCCACAAAATGCCAAAGGACTTGGGGGCTAGGGCATTGGATTAATCATTCCATATTGTTACAATTAATCATTTCAATAAACCAACCCCAAAATTTCTTCCTTTGCCCTATTCTACATGTAGTCCCTTTACAGCACAAAACAGGTTTTGAATTTCCAAAAATACTTTTTTTAAAAAACTGCATGCTTGCTTCATTGACTTGAAGAACACCATGCCACTTTGGTCATAGCTCCAAAGTTTGCAATTCCGGTTTTTTTTTGTCATAAATTGCACATTATACACTGTTTTTATATGATTAAGCAGCAAGCATTTAAAATTGGGATTTTATCAGTTCAACTTGATATACTTAACAAAAATCAAAATTATTTAAAAAAATGCATAAACACTGAGAATTCCCCTAAAATGTGCTCTAACACTTCCAGGTTTTTCCCCGCTTTTTACGAAGACTGCATTTAAAAAAGCTACATTGTGTTTTTGCCATTAACACACTAGCTATCACACTTTTCTTGTTTTCCCTCAAAGAACACATCCGTGCAGCTATTTTCCAAATCTTGCCTTCATTCACAGCTTTAGAAACCCCCAGTAATGGCAAAATGACTACACAAGCCATTGCTCACAAAAAAACGGGTCGATTTACTTTCTGGCAGAGCCGACATCATGTGTCAATCATTACGGAGTACTAACTTCCTGACAGATCTTGGGATCGGTCATGACATGTTTAGAGCAGAAGTAACAAGAGGCTTGTTCATTAAAGGCTCTGTTTATACTCCTTTATTTTCATCAGTATATTAATAATGTGACAACAACATGACAATTATCAGACTTTAGGAGGGGGAGGTGGGGGTTTCTTTGAACTTCAAGTTGAAATCTCTTTCCTAAGTGTGCTTCAAGCTGCTTTCTGGGACAATGTTTCGCTGCAGTCCTCTGAATATCTACTGATACGCGAGACATAAGAGATGTTCACAAGTATGGGCTGTAAACGTGGATATGAGGAGGTTTCTTTTCACTTGTTACCACATAAATCTTGTAGCGGTTTTTATAAATACCTTATGTGTACATAAATATGCAACTGGCCTTGTTGATTGCTTCACTTTACTAACATGCCAGGATTAGTACTCTGACCAGTTCCAGATCCATTAAAAAAAAATCTAGATTTGTAGAAAAGACAACCAAGGGTACAAATAATGGCAAAACAAATTCGCATGTTTTCTGATGCAAACTCATACATGCGACAGGGCTATCTGAAACACACTGACGCATACAGACATTCATTAATCTACAATGGGACAGGAATGACTCAACTGGAGTTCCAGAAGAAAAATCCCATCTCCCTACTGACAAGACAAAGTAGCTGAAGTTCCCTTTTACCGTAAGTAATTCTTGCTGCGGGGGAAAAAGACATCATTAAAGAGTGATATGAACTGTACATACTAACTACTGTACTATGAAATAGTCTGTGATGCCAGGAACATTAACTGGCCCATTTCAGATTCCGATTTCTAATAAAAAAAGCCCTCTTTTAAGCACAATGACCCCGGTATCTGGAGAAAATGAAAATGATTGAATAAGTATTAACATGGATGCACTTATAGTGCTTACATTTGTAGTAACTGCAACAGACTGTGGCTCCAAACTGAAAACATCACAGACAATCACTGACTGTCTGCAACTTGTACTTTTTCCCTGCTTACCAGAATCTCTACAGAGACTACATACATGTATGAACTGAGGTCTTCCTCCTTGTCTTGCCAATGTGAAAATGACCACACCAAATCTTAATTTGAAAACGTAGAAATTCCCCCCAGTATGTGCCTGCAACATGCAGTCAATCTGACAGTGCAACTAACTTGATATTTGCTTTGAAGCTTCGATTGTCACAAGCAAGTTGCCAAAAATATTCAACCTAGAGAGAAGCAGCCCACTGAAGAAACTTCAAATTTATTTCAATGTAAGAAAAAAAAAAATCTTTTATAGAGGTAGCAAATTATGCCGCATTAATTAAAAGTGAACTCTCATTATGTCAATGGAAAACTTCACCTAACCTTATTACCTTACAAAAATGGTCGAAATTGTTGCGATTCAAAATAAACAATGAATGTTAATGTAAAGTGAATTTTATTTGAATAAAAAAAAGGACTTGACAGCTATGCAAATTTGAAGCCACTAATGAAGCCCTAGGAATGCACACATTACTGCTGCCACACTTTTACCAAATGTCCCTAAAAACCCACTAGTTCATAACTGTTACCTCAGCTTATCATGGAATTGAAGCAGCCATTAACAATTCCATCCATTGAAACAATCTTAAATACTAATACAAACTTTGTTCTGCATTGGACAAAAAAGACAAGTTGTACAAATAGAAACAGAATGGTTAACCTCATTAGTTGTTTTGTATAAAAAAAATGGAGCCAAGCAGAGATTTCGGTCTTAAAAATGTAAATGTTTTGTAATGAAGCTATTAGTGCAGAGCAAAACAGGGAAACTATTTGGATCAGGTTAAAGGGTACTTTCATGAGCATTGTTTTAAATGAGTCAGGTTCTTTGAGAAATGTCTAAAAGTCTATTAAATGAGGAATATGACATTCAGCTGACAAGCACCTGAATATAGAGCAGAATAAAGTGACATACACTAATGTGCTACAAGTGCGTGTAGTTAATAATGCTGCTGAATGCAAAAGTGTCCTGCAGCAGGGAAGTACCGTTGCATTTTGTTGACAAGTTCATGAGACCTATTTGGCTCTTGCTGTCAGGTCTTGTTGGATTCGGCAGGGTGTATGAAGCCGTTGCACAACACCTCCCTCTCTTGTGACAAAGAGAGAGGCAGCAAATCACTGCCCATGGAACTTGGTGCACTTTCAGGAGGAAACTGCTCATGAATTTTGCGCCTTAAACAAGGGAACAAGTTCATGCACAAGCAGTGATATGGCCTCAAAGAGCATCATTGCCTTGTAATACAGTTTTGACCTATTGGGAGCAGGAACAATGCCGTTTCTTGATCCTGTGAAATTTGGCATGCCAAGTGGAGCCCTCGCATGAGTTAGCGACAGACAGCAGTTACTTCAGCTCCGGATTTGTTGTGTATAATACATATGCAACCATGCATCACTCTATCACAGCCTTATGAGGAGCCTGTGGTGTTCCCTAAAGTCACCTTATTCAGTATTTTATTCATTACATCATCAAGTGCCAAACTGCGACACATATTTACGTCCCATGAAACTACCCCAAAATTGATTTTCTTACTCCACATAATGGCAAGCTTTTTCGCACATACCTCGAGAGACTGGCACCAGAATTTACTTTTCAATCTGCAATTAAAGAGCGACGTCCATTTGCGGAATTTTCTTTAAAAGGTTTCATGTACATTTACACTGATAGTTCTGCCGTCACTGGTATTACTGTTCCCTGGTACCCAGACATCACCTTGCTAGGATGCGCCAGTTGAGTTTTGACCGGGTACAGACTTGCGCCCCCTTGTCATGCGGTCTAACTCCGCTGCTGCATCGCTGCGTACTGATTTGTCTCCTGCCGAAGCAAGAAAAAAAGCCCCAAAACCTGATTATAAAGACACCTGCTGCTATGATTTATGGTAAAATTATTTAGACATAAACCGAGCATATAAGAACTGGTCTGCCTATGGGCATACAGAAAAATAAAGTTGCCCGGGTCAGATCTTGCCCTCAGAAATCATTATGGAGAAAGACACATAGCTAACAGCTGGTGTCATGTCATGCTATTTCTAAAAATTGCATGAGGTAGCCAGCAATGTTACTGGAGCAAACCAAAAGTTATCCAAACTGGCAGTGAAGGCTCTAAGTCTTAATGCTGTAGAAGTGATCAAATTCAGCCTCGCTCAAAGGAGCACTCGGGTACTGGGCAGTCAGAAAAACAGGCAAATTTCTACAAGACATGGAAAGTGCATGAAGTATGAAAAAAGGAAATGGCATGATCTAATAAAAAGCTTTGAATTCCTGGCAAAATCTCTATCCCCTCTATCTTTCAAGCGTGGTATAGTTCATACCAACATAGTACATAGTATAGTTGGTCAGCAGTTTTGTAGTGTTTTATCCCTCATTTCAAACAATTTCCCATGATCTGGAAAAGACTCCAGGCCAGTTTGCACATCTACATGAAACAGCTACATGAGCAGCTGCATCAGGAGATATATCAACAGTCTTGAACAGTCAAGAAAGATAGATTTCTAACCAGTGCTTCTAGGAAAGGCACACTGAGGATTGACCTAATACCCATGCTATAAATGTTCTTCCCATCTGCACTAATTTCCAATGACCCCATGATCCCAAATTAAAGGTAAAATCATGATACCCAATTTAGACTGCATGAGCCCAGAGGCACTGATATTATCTGCAGTTACTGACCTGGTTTCGGACTTGCCGGTGACCCTGGTGAACCTGCCCCTGTTTTCTTACTGAGTAAACTGTTGAAGAAATTCGCTAACACTCCCTCGTTGGTGGCCCCTGGCTTGCCCGGCTCCATCTGATCAAGGAGGAACACCAAAATTGAACAATAAATGGCCTAAATTTACAAGTCTAAAAAAAAAGTTTCCATTACTAAAATCCAAAACCAACAAATGAGACCTAAAAGTAATAAAACAAGGTTAACCGGACTGCATCTGAAATCAATCTAGTTTATTTCTTATGTTTAAGGTACTGGAAGTGAATGCCGCTTAAGAAAATTACAGACTCTGCCTACTGATTCATGCAAAAGGGAAATATGTAACAATTAAGAAAACTAGATTTGTATTGTTAATGGAGTTAGACATCTCTGACATGGCGCCTATTCATGCCATTCATACCTGCAGTAACTGGAGGAAAGTACAGAAAAACAGGAGCATTTCTTGCCAAACTTTCTGACCTTTGCTTTTCCTGATGCTGTGATGGGTGAGACACTGGCTACGTTAGCTTTCCTTTCTGGCGTCCTCATGCCCATCGGTCTCTGTGGAGATTCCTGCTGTATGACGGGTAAAAACGTAAAAAGGAAACAATGATGTGGATTGCTAGACTGTTCAACTAAGCTGGCTGTTTCAGCAGACAAGCTGATGAACAAGGAAATGCACAAAATAAAAACACTGAGGCTTATCTGTTGTTTAACTGGAGAAGTGATCTTGTTGAATGTGGCAGGTTATTTTAACAAGCAGACTAGAACGTAGGTGGACCGTAACAAAGCAACACATGATGAGTTTTTGCTGGAAAAATATATCACAGCTCAACACAGCTTCTTTTAAAAGCAAGACTGACAGATAGGCAGGCATTCTTACAGCAACACATGGTGACACTTACTCGCTGCTTGGCTGTAGAAATGTTCTTGCTCAAAATGGTTTTAGTTGTTTCACTGGACAGACTGACAGAATGGCATTTAGACACAGAAATACACAAGGAGAGACTTCCCCATTGGTTTCATTGCTGGAGGGTTATTTTTGCTTGACATAGTTTAGTTATTTCACTGGACAGATTGACAGATACTGGTAGACAGCTACACAGGGAGAGACTTCCCCACTGCTTAGCTGGAAGGGTACTCTTGCTCATTTGACAGTCTGACAGACACAGAACTACACAAGGAGAGACTTACCGGAACCTGCTGCTTGGCTAGAGGGTTGTTCTCGCTGGCTTGACAGACAAAGAACCACACATGAAAAGACTTACCTGCTGCTTGGCTGGAGGGATGTTCTTGCTCAACATGGCTTGCTGTTTCATCAGGAAGACCTGTTCATCTTCAGCTGTTACTTCTTTACTGTCTTGTAATGGCTGTGATTCACAGACAAAACTAAACAAATTAATTGATGCGATACTTAAAGTATGCTGGCAGCTAAAGGCATTAACAATTTTGACAGTACACTGCACATGCCAACATTGGAAGTCAGAAAACAGAACACCGAGTGTGCAAACAATGCAAGTGTCTTGGCGCGAAACCCTGTACAGGTTGGGTCCAAGTATAGAATGTAATATAAAGCCACAGCCAAGAAATTTGGATCAGAGGAGATAAACCTTTCTCAGTGCACTGTGCTGTTGTGGCAGTAGGGACAAGCAAACTTTCCAGAAGTTGCCAGGTAATTTACAAGATATCCTTTCAGGTAGTTACTTTTTCTTCTGTAAAATTGGAAAATCTTAACAGTGCAATTTTTAGGCCTATGGAAAGTTGAAAAATCTGAACACTTGGCTTTTTTTGATTGAGTACAGTTACATGTACTTACCTTTCTGATAGCTGGTTTTTCTATGACTTCCCCAAACGGTTCTTCAGGGTTTATATTGGGCATATTTTCATAAAGAATGCCTATCTTCTGAAGATTATCCCAACCAGAAGGCCTACACAAAAAGAACGATACACATCAATTATAGTTAAGAGCCATAGTACCACACTGTCGGTAGAGAGGTAAGGGGGGGGTGTTGGAAAAGGAAAGAGAAAGACTACTTACACAAACAAGGCGTCCTTCTCTACGACTAGTGCTGGCTTGTGGAAGGGAAAGCTATATATCCTGTGCAGCAGGTATTTGTAAAGTAGATCACAGTTCTTGCCCTCCTTTACCGATGTATAGAATAATGCTGCACCATCTACATGACAGATAACTTAAGGAATATAAATACAGTCACGGGCCAAGCTTTTAACAGTCATCTTGGCAATACTGCAATTGTCAGATTTTCCAGCAAGTACATTTACACAAACCTTTTAACTGTTTTTATAACATACATGTAGATTTATCCCTCTTATAACTTAAACCTTCCCCTGTTCAAAGTGTGCAGTGTACATCTGGTTGAAGTCCAATAACTTATTATCCCACAGGTTTTGGGTGGATCAAACATGCACAGTATTGGCTGTTTGACTACCAATGTAAATAAATGTATGAACTAGTCTACTCTTTAAAAGCTTGGGCAAAACAGGTATTTCATTTTGAGACAACAAACACAACATTTCTTATGGATATCCACAGCCTCCCAGTAGCATACACAGTGTAGGCCACAACTGACATATTTTTTGAACTCACTCCTTATTAAACATGACATGAAACTATTTTACAAAAGTGTGCCATTATCCATGGAACAAAATTCATGAAAAGAGGCCAAAGTCCACTTCAAGTCGTTCACAGTGGCTTCAATGATTGCTGTCTAGTTACCGTCCAATGTTTGATCAGTGTTACTGGAAATATTCTTAAGAATGCAACCTCCTCTTCAACTTATCCTGCAACATCATGTGTCTATTTCTGCACAAGTAAATCTCCCAACACTATTTTGCACAACAAACAAATCTGGAAAGGATACAATTCAGGCAGAACTTTCTGATATGTTGTTGGATGAAGTCTAGATGTTCCATCTTAAAGTCATGCTCCTTTTCCAAACTAGAGATTGCATCTGACTGTAAAATGAACAATATAAAGCAATTCACATACTAGAATGCCATTAAAAAAATTAAAATGACCCGAAGTCTTCAAAACCTTACAAGCATAATTTTAGTCCAAAGAATTAGATCAAACAAAACGGAAATACACTTTCACTGCAGTCAATGGCTTAGTCTTCATGGACTTTACCTTTGTAACAACAACCACCATCGGTATTCCCAGGTTATGTGTGAGTGTGGTTTCTCCTAATGGAAGCAGGATCTTCTCATCTTCCCCACCCACGGTGCCAGGAGCCGTTGTTCTCCTGGGTGACTTTGGGTCCTCCCCCTCTTCCGGTTCAACATACTCTTGGAATTGTTGCACCACTGTTGGAACCAGAAGAAAATCCGTTGAGACACAAAGTTTTATCAAACCAAGATCGTCATTGTAACTCCCCAAGCATTTCTGCTGGAAACTTTTCTGAATCCTCCAAAATCTTGTACAGATACAAGACCCTGGTGGCATGTGCCTTACATTCTGTGGGCAATAATGCCTATAATTTAAAAGTAATCTTATCTGGGCTTGAGGGCTCTGAAATCCATTAATGAGAATCCACACAAATTACATGTAAGGTGTTGATTTGAGCACTATGTTTGGAACATCTTTCTTTGCTTTACAATTCTATGACCTGTCCCTCCAAACAGAAAAAGGGAAGAAAATAAAACAGCTAAAAGCACATTAACTAAATACATGCAAATCTGCACACACATGGGCTTCTGTCCGTTCTACCTGGAAATATACATACAGTGTACATGCACCCTATTCTCTACCTGAATAGCACATTCCATACTGTAACTGTGATCACTCATTTCAATGGGTCACACCACAAACATATGCTACACTGTGAACTGTGTCCTCCAAAGTGCCAGTGGCCAAACGAAGCAGTCCTGGACACAGATGTGATAAATTTATCCTCTACTTGTACATTATTGGATCTTACCGATGTCCCTTTCAGGGAAGCAAAACCTAATTAAAGGTGTACGTGTAGTACATGTACGTACATGTACATGTATCAGCACTCACTAATGTAAGGTTGTTAGCCTTCGTAAGCCAGACAGGAAGCGAATAACAATACTACCGCTAGGATATCACAGACATGTATCATGACAGTTAATAATGTCATGTACTTTCCGAGAAATTTTAAGTGAGGTTGTAATGAAACTGCATGTCCAAGTGCATGTACAACTATGCCATGAAAAAAACACATTCCTTTGCAGACATGTTTTGAAAAACAGTAAATAACGACAAGACAAAACATGTTACTGTAAGAATGTCAAATCAAAATAACCAAAGGGGTTAAAGGTTAAAAACTGGGTTTCTTTCAATCCTTGCTCTGAAATCTGAATAGGAAAGATCATATTTGCTGCATATAGTATCACCCAATGATTACAAATAATTAATGATGAAACAGAGCACCTAACTCGGGGGGGGGGAGCATGCTCAGTCTCCACTAAGTTAATTTTGCTGAGCAGTAGTTAATGGAGTCTGTCACTAAATACATGTACATGTAAGCATGCATGTACAGTAATCACTTTTTCTGTACAATGATGCACCTGTCACACTGAGATGGGAGGGAATGTGATTTCTTCATCACTTGGACGAGCAAAGCAATGCATGCTTTGATTACTGATAAATGCACCAGTCTTATCAACAACATGCATTAATTTTACAACTAATTTACATATATAATTCATAATTAATTGATTTTTCCATGGACAAGGACTGCCCAGCTGCTATAAACAGAACAATGGCATGTGCCAGCTAGAGTTTTAGTTCACAGGCACATGTACGGTATATCATTGTCTGTCATTGACTGTGCATCCTATTTGTGCTATGAAGTTCCTAGCTTCTTGTCAGTTAATACGCAATGATTTGCAATCACATGCACATTGCGAGAATAATGTAAATGTTCAAGTACATGTACTTGTTCCGGTATGTGTACAGTGTACACGTTCAAAGTGTGGACGTTGAGCAGTACAGAACAATAGGGTGTGCGACTGACTGAAGTCCACAATGGACAATCGCATACCTAACATACATGTATGGCATGTCTTCCTGAAAAGTTCAAGTGTAGGTTTGAACAAAAGGGGAACAATCGGGGGAGTACAGCTTACAAAGATGTGTACACACATGTACATACACTGTATGTACACTGCTCCAAACTTAGTTTGGAAAAAGATACCGGTATCCTCAAACATGATGGGTGTTTTCCAAAGAATTCTGGACTCAAACACCATGTGCTAGTATTGATCTGACTGATATTAATAGTTGGCAGACTCAACCTAAATAAAATGCAGTGCATTGTAAAACATTTTTATAAAATGATGTTTTACTTCACGTGCCGGTATCATGAACGTGTACATGTACGTAAATGTACACTGGCCTTTTAAAATGACATTTGCAACTGTTTGCGTTGCTATGACATGTAAATTGATTCATTTACATTTGCCTTGCTATTTGTAAACATTGCTGTGCGTATCAAACGTGCATGCATATTTAAACAGCAATATCTGCATTAAAGATGGCTGTGCAATATGCCATCTGATACGTACTGTAGTATCGGGAATTAAGGTGCCATTTTGACACTTATTCGAAAAATGCACCAGTTGATTAACAGTTTAAACCTCCTCATCTTCATGTAAATACCAGCTACCAGTACTGTATCAACCGGTACCAGTACATGTACACAGTAATGAGAGTTGGCAAACAATGTACGTGACAGAAAACTGGTGATGTTAGTCTGGTTCTTGCCCAGAGCGAAAAAATAAGGCCATAGAAGCCTGAATACCTTAATACGGCCTCAAAGTAGCCCAAAATTTGACATGAAATATCAGGGGTGAGATTAAACCAATGATAAAAATACATGTAGCTGAAAACAGCTGAAAAAAGGCATAAAGAAGCTGACCTGTAAAAAAATCCTATACTTTTGTACAATGTACACAGGCAGTGAGGATAAAACACTGAAATCCAAAACAAAGCTGAGAAATCTCACCCCTAAAATAGCCGGAAATCAGGCTTTTGCCTAAAAACATTTATGGACACAATGTCTCAATTTGTTGCAGTCCAAAGATTCCCCATTAGCTGTAATACTGCACACTAGTTGTTTTTTTAAATTCAGGATATTTCCAAGCCAAAATATCATGCCAGTCAAAATCAGTTGTACATGATGTAAATTGATTCTTCTTCCCAAATCCTGGACGAAACTCTCTTTTGAAAAAAAAAAAAATTGTATTCTGATTGATCGTTTACGTACATAAATGAAATGACAACATCTGTACTTAAAATATTTGCACGTACCTGGATCTGTTTATAATAAAACCAAATTATAGTTCAGCTGGAGTGAGTCATAGTCTTACCGTGCATTTTAAGTATACAGCTCATGCCTGCTTAGCCAAAACCAATCGTTAACATAAACTTAACCTTATCCACCATTCACTGAAATTTATTTTACTTTTTTTTCAATGCAGGCATTCCTTTTGTTATTGTACAATTTTGGTATTTCGCCCGACACAAATTGTGCGCATGTGTATTTGTTCAGTGTAATTCTACCATGGGGAGTAACTGTACAGTAATAAGTACGCCAACTGCATTTTTCTACACTTTATAATGAAGTCCATCAGTTCACCAATATTGTACATCAGGTTTTATTGAGGTTCCACTTATTTTTGACATGTACATGTATTTTGAATGACACAACCTTAGCTGATTTTGCAAATTACAAGCACTGAAATCTACAACTCAAATAAAACACTTCTATTACTGTGATGTTAAAGATGCAGTTCAACGATGGAGGAGACTTTCCAACAATATGTCTTATAATGTAGGGTATACCCATCACAGAGACAAGGTTTTAAACAGTGTATTTAAAACTCAATGGCAAGAAAGAAGTTTGCAGTTTTGGGGGTCTGGCAGACTCAAAAAGAAAAACAACAGTCATTGGTTTCATTTGTCATTCTGTGAAAGTGTTACATAATATGTGGGAGACGGAATACAGTACCTACGACTATTTGCTGCTGTACAGCATGTACATAATAATAAAGGGCTCCATGCCTAGTACCAGTCTCAGCTTCAGGGTTTTCTGACAGTGACGCTGATGATAAGTCGGTTTCTTCTCACTCCTAATTGGAATATCTTGTCAATGACATCAGTAGCACTGAGGCGGTTTTGCTAAACCAATTTTAGTCCGAACTTTGGGAAGCACATACCATCAACAATACAGTTTCCAGCAACGCGTACACTACAAGATTGTTTACTTTACACTTTTTCGGGTTTTAAGATGAAGAATCCACCTCAAGTAAAAAAAAATCTTTTCAAAGACGGCCAATCCAAGACTATTTGTGACTATTGACTGTTACGTGTATAAAGTCTAATTCAAATCCAACCTAGTCCAACAAGTTTTAACTTTTTTTTTTTTAGAAACAAAAAAATGTGAAATTGTTTTGAAATTTAACTAAAAGGAGGACAGAAAAAGAGAGTGAGCAGTGAGAAAAAAAACAATAAATTTACACCAAATGCTGCCCTATAAAAACTTCACATCAAAAAGGAGAAAGTGACTTACATCTCTCCTCCAGTTCCCGTAGTCTCTCAGGCGGCATCCTCAGCGTGTCTATGTGTCGTCGAAGCAGCCCCGCCCACTTGTTCAGCATATCCAGGATTGACCAGGGCTTGGACATGTCCACCATCAGGATGGCCAGGCTGTGGCTCAGGCTGGCCGGGGTCAGCGCAAACTTGAGAAGCTCCGAGTGCTCGTCCTCCCCACCCAAGATCCACACGCCGCACCGTGTACTGTCTGCCAGGCACAAGAGTCACACACAACATTTAAGCAGTGTCTTCCAACTGATGGAAGCAGCCTGGCTGTCTACCAAGTTTTGCTTGTCTGTTGCCAAGTATAATAAGTAGCGGTAAGCTTTGAAATCCGGCCACCAAGTTTAAACTTCTGGGTGCTACATTAAAGTTCTGTAATATTTCATCTAACACAAATATAAATGTAATGTAAATAATAGATGGAAAAAAATGTCTCCAAATGCGTAAAACTGCTTTCATTTCTTATGGAAAAAAAGCCAAACTACCCTTTAGATGTCCAGAAATACACCTGACCCGAACTAAGAAATGGGAGAGGGTGTTTCCAGCAAGAGGGCTCGTAACCCTGTCCTAATTGGCTTTGCCCTACCCTCCCCCATTTCAATATTTTTATCAGTCCCCACTCAGTTTAAAATTTAGAATTTTGAGAACAACGTTTTCAAATATAAATAAATGCTGGAATCAAAAATTAATTTTGATTAATTAGAGCATACTGGGTCTAACAGAGCTGCTAATTACTGACTGGAAAAATTCATGACAAACAAAAACATCCAGCTGTCCAAAACAACTTCCCAGCATAGCTGTTAACATACATGTATTTTCATTTTCAATGCATGGCCAACTTTCTGTGCTTTGCACTGGCTACAAAATGTAGATGAGCCCAAACAGTGGCTGGTATTCTGGCAAGGACACTGAAAATTTATCAAGGCAAGAAAGAAATTAATGCAGGAAACCAAAGAGAGTCTCAACAGCAACATGAATGTATAAATTTATTCATTATAGAATGTCATTTAGTGCATGTACCGGTACATGTACCATATAATGGGACACATAATCTTCACTTCCGATTTCTTACCATTCTACAGTAAGGTGTCTGGGCGATTCAATAACAGATGGTACTAATAGCAATTGCTCTGTACAGTGTAGTACAGTACATGCAACATCTACATGTACATGTAAGAGTACACTTAGTTAGACAGGTCCCTTTGACTGGTTCATGGGCAGTTGATTACTTCCCACAGCATAGCAACCAGATATTGCTACCACCTGATTCCACTCAAATATGAAGACTCTTAAAGGAGACTACCGTGAATGCATAATGTATATGAAGATTGGAGGAATGATGCTTAGCCTAAAAAAAGTGTTTGTAATAAAATCCTGGGAAATTACCCAGGTAGAATGTTTACACATATGAGTAGCAAAACAATTCAGCTCCTTTTTGATGCCTGTCACTGTTTTGTTTTTTATAACTATTTGTTACAGGGTGCCATTAGGGTGATCTTATGTTTTGCTAACCAACTGCCAGTAACAACTGCATGTAGTACCTTTTTGGACTGCATAACAATGGAAATGGTATGTTAGATGTACATGGACAGGTTGTATGTACAGAGTATACATGTACATGTAGGTACCGGGTACATGTACTGAGGCTGTGTGTTCAAAAGTTGTGACTGTGGCTGGAAAGAACACGTGCGTATGGAAACTACTAGCTACTTGTAGCAGACCCTGTACAGCCACTTCTTATAGACGTTTGTGTTATTCCCAGCCATAGCCAGTTGTTTCTGACACAGCCAAAGGGTGTCCATGTTGAGGATAATCTGCCAGCAGTGTACAAAAACCTGTGTCATCTCTTGCACAGTATGCTGTGGTTTGCACAAATTGAAAAACTGGTTGGGCATACATGCATACATGTACATGTACGTGCATGTAAGTAATGGTAGATATTGTAGATGATGAAGTTCCCTTAATGGTCTTGGTCTGCCCAGATCCCATTGCTGAATAAATTCTGCATGTGATGTTGAAAGCCCTTTAAGCCCTTACTGTTGAATTTTTTAAAGTATCCATTCATCTGTGCAGGAGTCTAAACTGAAAAGTTAAAGAGATGGTCTTCCTGACTCACACGAGTTCCTCAAAAAGTAACACTAGAAAAAGGAAACTGTCTTCAAAAGGACAACTTCTGAATTCCCGCAGGAAAATCGTACCTTTCTTTAAATGCCTGTGGGCAAACAACTGTCTTTGTCATACATCTGTCTTGGATACTGTTTGTTTATTGGCCCAGATCGATCACATGACAGGGCGACATATCCGCATATGACACTCACCGTGAGACATTTCATTCTACTGATGGTGCGTTCATGCACACGCATATGCGCGTGAAACAGAAGAGCTTTGGGAAGTTCGAGGATGAACATAACTTGCGGTCCTTTAGTCAGTTTTGCATGATACCCATGATACATTTTGTGCATAGGCTACCCAGGAATTTGATCAATGATTGTGCTCGTACAACACTAGTTCCCATTCCTGCAGTATTTAAGGTAATGTGGGGACCACTAACCAGACTATATAAATGTAATCACTGGTATCCGCACTAGTTTCACATTAGAGTTTACGTAATTAACGAAAGTGAGGGGACAGTGCACAAATGATATTGTTTACGTCTGTTGTGTTAATTGTACAGTTTTACAGTAGGCTAATCGTCTTATGAAATTCAGACCTTGTTTCTTTGGATAAATTTCTTAAGATAGAGGTATAACAAAACAATTGTTGACTGCTTGGGCACACATAGCCCCCATGACTTCGCCTTGGGGCGCTATGCGTCCCTCGGGTGTTCAAAACGTCATATCCCACTCCACAGTGGTCAACAATTGTTAAATGTTACCAAAGCATGGGGAAGAACACAGAAACTGCAGACTTCTCTTTTTAAATGTTATCAATCAGCTACATGTACATGTAGGTGAACATCCAGAAGAATATGTACATGTACATGTACAATTGTACCACTATGTACATTACATGTACATGTACGGTACCATACATGTACCGATACAAGTCCATGTACACTACATTTACTTGTGTGCAATGTACATGTACAGTAAGAAGTCTGGTATGCAGGCTACTACATGTACATGTTTACATGTACATGTGTGGATGTTGGAACAAGACTAAGCTTTAACACATTCATTTACAAGCTTATAAAAAGCAGCATACATGTACCATAAAGGTTGCAGGCCAGTAAATACATACAGGTCCAAAATTGCCTGCGCGGACCAAATCAAGATTTGTACTGTAGGCTGTCAATTTCTCTGCTGTTAGAGCCTTTCTTGGCACGTGGACTGGGGGGTTTGTTAAAAAGGTGGACGAAATGCAGCGGCAGGACTGTCAGCTTGTTTTTCTGAAAGTATCGGACCAAACGGGGCCCTCCAAATTGCTCTATTTTGCCATGGAGTGTAGGCATCAATTTCCAAAATGGCGATGGGCCTCCTGACTGTTTTTAGGGGTGATTTTCTCTGCATGGAGAGAAATATCTTCAAAAGTCATCGGTTAAGCCAATGAAAATTGAAAAGAAAATGAAAGATGAGGAAGTGAGCTTTAATTCGATATGCGTCTTGGAACAAATGTGAAACTTGCGAGTATTTTTCTTGATTTTTGAAGTAGGGGTATTTATCACTGTTGTCTATGGCAACTGATTTACTGGTCTGCAACCATAATGTACAGTGTACAATGTCAGCTCATGTACATGTACATGTACACTTGACTATCGTATACATGTACATTCACTACACATATAGTTCTGGGTTTTTTGCACCAAGGGCTCATATTTCTCATAAATTCTGAAGATATCTTGGGATTGAAAACACTAAAGACATTTTGTCAAATGATCAAGTACTAGTTGATTTTTGCTTGCTTCATTAAAATTAGACACATGATTTCACGGATTACCTTTTTTTCAGCATGGGACATAGACATGTTTTATTTAGGAAAATCTTAATGTGCATGTACTTTTACAATGTACATGCACATGCATGTGCCATACAAACAGACAAATATATCTGGAAACTACACTGTATACTTCCAAGTTCAAGGTAAAACAAAACTGACAAGGTGATGACCCTAATTGAAACAATATTACAAATATGTGTGATACGTTCAATACAATATATACATGTACACTGGAAAAACTACCCAAAATATGCCTGTACATGCAATAAATGTGACGTGATAAAATAACATGGGCCTGCACGTACATGTACGCCTACACACTACAAGGTGCATACATGTACATGTACCTGCCAGCTCTTTTTGTTTTGGCCCACCATTAAGGTCACATACATGTATTTATCACCAGGCAAGGGCCCTTACCTAGACAACATGTGGAAATCAATGACAGGTGGCGAATGCACTGCCAATTTGCAGTCACAATGACCCTTGGAATGGCTGATTATGAAACCCATCCTTGATATTGAAAGAGTGTACTAGTACTGCAACCATTTTCACACATCGCACATGGAGTGCGACTATTTTTCCAAGTTCAAGAAAAATACAGTGGGTTTGATGTGAGAGTTCTGCAAGTGATACATTGGAGTTTATGTTGAGTGTTGGAAGTTAGCACTCCACACTGGAGGATGAATGAACCTCATTGAAATTAAGTCTGAGTGGGCCTAAATGGCATTAACCGTGCTATCAATTACCAGTGCATGTACACTTTCATGTACATGCACATGTACCGGTATGTTGCACGCAATTTGATTGATGAAAATTTCAGTCCCTCATACAAGACAGGAAATGTTTAGTTTCAGCAAGGCAACTACACTACATGCATACATGTAGTTCATGTGCATGTGTTTCTCCCCCCCCCTTTATGTACACTGCATTGAGAATCATCCATATCTGTCCTATTTGAATGTGCGTAAATGCACAACACAGATGCCTAATGTAAACTACACGTATGTGCTAAAAAGTATAACTGCATGATTCACAGTAGTGCAAAACAGTAATCACAGCAAGTAGACTGCAGACAACTTTAATCAAACTTTGATTAACTTAAGTGGTACATACTGAGCATACTGAGTCCTACATACATGTACATGTATATCCTGCTTACAAACAATACCTCTGCCCTATGGGTACATGTACAACACTTGTCGCTGGGGTGAGGCATTTGAGCCAGGGGTTCAGGGCACATTTGAAACACTCATTTTCATTTACAAGTACAAGTACATGTATACACAAATGTAAAGGTTTGAGTGTAAAAGCACGTCAGCACATTGGACACCCTGTTTTTCAAAACACCTATCAGGGAGACATAATATTGCCTTAATAAGAAAAGAAGTCGTATTTCCAAAGTTTCACTATGAATTAAATATACATTAGAGTACAGGCAGGGTGTGCAAGTGGGTAAATTGGGGGGAGGGGCTCTACAATAAAAGTCTACATTATTTTAGCCAAAACTATCGGGGTGAGATGATGGTTAGTTATTTTTGTATCAATAGTGACAATGTCAGACTTAATGCTGTGCATAACTATTAATTTTCACTGGTTGAGTGGTTAAATTTCACAGCAGGTTATACAAATACACAAGAGCTGCACACATTTTTCAAACCAGACTGCTTAAAACGTCAAGGAAAAAATTCAGGACGATGGCCTAAAAATTAATAGGCTTCAGGTTTTGGTTGCTGCTGTGTGTGTTTTTAAAATCTTTTATTAGGCTTTTTAACCAAAAGGAAACAGGCTCTGCATGATTTCCCAGGTTACATGTACCAGTAGGTCAGTCCACAGAAAAGCAAAACCGACTTGTTCGGCTGAAATTTTGTGTATGTGCATCTCTGTTCATCCCTGAAATGAAAATAAAACTTTACGACAATTTCTAAGGTGAAAATGACTAAATGTTAGAGTTGCCTCAGTCTGCAAAACAGCTTCAAAATTGGGCGCCGAACTTAACGCAGAAAGTACAGTGGACAGAACTGAGTAATTACAGCTCAAATATCAATCATTGCACATTGAAGCACATGACATACATGTGTTTCTGGTGCCATTCACTTGATGTACAGAATTTAGAATAACAGATTTGAGTGTTTGACATAAGAGAAGTTTATTAACATAAAGTGCATGTCTGGCAATTCCAAAATGCTGGTAGGCTTTCTTTGCATCACACTGTCTATGTACATTGTATTGTCTGCCACTGGAAAGTACTGATGATAGTTGGCTACGCAAAGTCTTGCTGTTTGACAGTTGTGTGTGTTCAATAACTTGGATAGTGAAAACCATGAAAAGTATGAAGTTTAAAAGACACACATGAAAATGGCCTTTTGTTTTTTACTTATTTGTAACTGCCATGAATTCTGCAAGGACACAGAGACTTATAAGTTATAGATTAGGTGTCACAAATGCTGCCTTGTTATCCTAGATACAGGGTCATCAGCATGTGAATTAAACCCGAGCTTCAGTATGATACAGCAGTGGAACCATTGAAAACATTGCCATTTTTTAGGAATTGAAAGTGCTACGAGTATCACAACAGAAATGGTATGGTACTCCCACCTTTCCTTGGGGAAATTTTGTTGCAGATTAAAAAAAATAAAAATCTTTTTTGACACCCCCCTTTTTGCCTCCCCTCCTGTCCCAAACCAAACCCTGGATACATCAAGAGCTTAATGCTAACATAACTTTGCATTGCATGGGTTTTTGCTTTCTTTATATACAATAAGCATACTTGAAAACTTGCTCTATCGGTCGACGGTGATGGATGAACTGTCACAGCAACAAGTAACACTTAAGAAGCTGTGAAGGCTTAGCATGTCCTCACAGTTGAGGTCAGGTGGCCAGTCTCACAGTTCAGGTTGATTGTAAAAGTGTACATGTAACACCCAAATTAGACAGGCAATGAATTATAAACACCTGTAAAAATTGGCTACAACTGAAAAAAAAGTGTCCAAACAGGTTGCTCATGACATGTTTTAAAAGGGGGTCCCCATTATTTTTTTCCCCCAAATCACCCTGTCTCCAAGACTCTGTTGCTGAGAACTGTGGTGGACTGATACAGTGTCCAAAACTGTCTTTATTCAAAACAGTGTGTGCAAAAGACGTGGACCCTCTTTAGCTAAGTAAACAGATATATCCACTTTACTTATATACATGTACATGTAAGTACGAATACTGTGTGAGCTTAGTGTACAAATACCCTTTCAATGGTAGACAGCAGAATGTCTGGGCCAACTTTCTAGTTCCCATCTCCACAATTCATCAGTTAGAACGATGTATAGATTGGAAAAAGACAACTTCCAGCCCCAGGGAAATGTACATGTCCATTAAATAAAAGAAAAACAGTCTGCATCAACTAAAAGCATACATTGTAAAGTCGTTTCAGACTGAAGGAAAATCACCGCCAGATAGCAAAACACCTTCTCTTGTTGTTGAATGAAACCCACATACATGTACATGTAACATTCTGTTGTGCTGCCACATCTATGGGCAAGTTTTGTATTTGTATTTTGTATTTTCTGTATATCATCTATTAATGAGGGTAAGCTTCGATCAGTGTTTCCCATGGAGGCTCTCGGATTTACAACGTTGAGGGTTGAAGGCTTACAAGGATGCCAGCGGCAGCTGCCAAATGACCCACATCTGGAGAAGATAGGAGACTAGTACATGTACATATATGAGAAGCACTTACACTTTTAGGGGTGGGAGGAAAACCCCAGGAAAATACATGTATCCTGGGTAAAACCCATGGAATCAGGTAGGGACTGCAAACCCAACCCAAATGTGGACTGAGCCGGGAATCGAACCTGGGCCGCAAAGGTGGAAGGCGAGGAAAAAAACCACTACACCAACCTGAGTTTGAGCAACTCTTACACTTTGGCCGATGCCGCCTGAATGTTGGATTGTTTGGATCATCTAGGAAACATTTGTAACTAGGCCATACAAGCACTGTGATACACCATGCCAATGTCCAAACTGTTTACAATACTTGTTTGTTTTGGTTTACTTGAAACAACTTAAGTTAACCCCTTGATACCAGGACTTTTTCTGAAAGCCGACTCTGAGAATTCCAGCCTCGCTTGACCACGAAGGCCACCTGCCAAACTGCAAATTCTCGGTTTGTGGCCCCGCGTGCTCTGCAAGCTTTGATTTACACAGCAAAAAGGCTTAATGTTCGGTGGCATGCGGCTCTACTCATGCTTCCACATTCCTGTTGCCTCTTTTCAAAGTGGGTACTATTGTGAAGCTGGTGATTATGATGCAAATTCGGTCTTTTCATTTTTTGGCAACACACAAAGGCCAATCACCATATATACAAGAGCCAGGGTATGCCTTCTTTCACCGTGTTTGCTCGAGCGGGCCGAGAACAATAGCTGAAAAGCGGGCTGACAGATCTCAATTTTTACGGCAGCTCTTACAGCTTCTCGGTGCGAAGGGGTTAAGAAATGGTGGAAACAAAAACCCAACTCAACTCAAACTCAGTTTTGGGTCAGGTCAGGTTAGTTTCAAGGTCTAGTTTGCACTTTATCAAGTATTGGCAGCATTCTTGACACTACTCACCATCTTGATCTTCATCCTGGACGTCCAGATATAAATACTCCAACCCATGACCTTTCTTGGGATCATCTGCACCCTGAAGCCTTGATATAAGAGTTGTCTTCCCACATTCATCTTCACCTGCACACCAAACGGAAATTTCTGACATTCATTTTGGTTCTCGAACAATTCCTAAAGGGAAGCCTAAAGTGCATGGTAGAAAGGTCTTTGTTCACAAGTCAATGACTCCTGAGTTCCAGAACTGTGTAAACCATAAGATTTTTTCAAAACAAGTGAAGTAATTTTGGACTGATTTGGCTGCTAAGCCTACCTTGTGAAAGTTAAAAATTGAAACAGAAATGTAGCACCGTCCTTAAACTAAGAATTGCTATTAAGTGAATGTCAGTTGTCAGAGTTTATCACAACTGTCAAAGTATCAGATTATTTGAATAACTAGGAAATTGAAATTTTGTCAGGTATGCTTTTGCCCTACCAGTATCCCATTTCATTTCTTTGCTTCAGCCATGCAAAGGTATGCATCCATGTCTGCATGTCATGTTCAACCTGACATGCCTAACTGAAACATTATTGCCTATCCTAACACTACAAAGTAATCTTTAGAAGAATATGTTTCTGCATCCTTGAAAAAAAGGTCCAGTTTCTGGTGGGCATGACACAGTTTAAGAAAATCCAGGAGAGCTATAAATTGCTCTCCTCAAATCTCTCCCTTAAAAAAAAACCAATTAAAAGAAGTGGAAAATGAGGTCAAATGATAGTTTGTACCCTGGAGTCTATTGTTTCCACTTTCTCTGATTGTTTATAATGTTCTTGGGGCAATTTTTAAAATTAAGTTAGTTTTAGTTCAGTTAGAAACAGGTTTACGATACATACTGATAATCTCACTGCTTGTTTTTATTTGAACCAGAATTTTTATACTTCCAAATTAAAAAATTAACTATTTAGGCCTGACTAAATGTTACATTGTACTTGTAAGTTTCAACCTACATGTACATGTACAGTTCAACACAGTTGTACGTCATGTACTTGTCCCTTTGATTTAAATAAAAGTGGAAATGAGCCTTTTCATCCTGATTTGAGCATTGCTTTCAAAAGAAACCTGAAGGGGATTTGAAAGTTGAAAATGCACTTCAACTTTGTTCAGTTGATGCAGACTGTAATGAACCCACCTCAATCAAAATAGGAAAATGTCACACCAACACACGTGCATGCACGTGTGAACATAACAATGTTTACATATGATTATGGTCCGACATGCTGGACATGAATTCAATAAGCACACAAGCTGTATGTATGCATGGAGCAGTGTTTCACGATGACAAAAGCTCAAGGCACACCGCCTTCCGCTTAAGTGCCCCGTAAAGAAGATCGATACCGATTAGTTCTCTTTTTACTGAAAACTTTTTACTGACCGATAAAAATACCTAACAAATTGTATCATGTACAGCAAAACTGTGCACGACATACAATGCACATGCAAGCATACGTATGTGTACATTTACAGTTGTGTGCAGAGCTGGTGTGAGAGCTGGTGTGAAAGCAGGCTGTGCTTGCGATGCAATGATCGTAATATATTCGTATAATAATTATAGGCCCAAATATGAAAGTCGCGGCGGGATAAATTGAAAGCCTAAGTTACAAATGAATCACAGTCCTTTTTTGGTGATGTTATCCACTGTGTTTGTCATATCATTGGTATATTTGTAAAGTGCCCTAACATTTTTGTAAGGGCGTGATTTGTTACGCTCCTTTAGGAGTGTTGAGGAACGTGGTAGGAGCGCCTGTGCAACTGCACTCCTTTAAAATGAAGGACTGATGACAGTGACAGTGTATTACAGTGACATAATGCAGACGGGTGTCAGTCACTTTGCCCCGTTTCCACTTTGCCCCATTGCCACTTGTAGCCCCATTCCCATATCTCTTAGTTCCTACTTTGCCCCAGCTTTGCCTGATTGAGTTTGGTAACTCTGGCATAAACAAGGAGCCTTTTCGTAAGTGGCGTGGATTGTGACAGCAGGTGACAATGGATTTGATAATAAATTGGAATAAAGAAAGAAATGACATTATTCCTTAGTTTTAAGTTTCATTAAACATGTCAAAATTCCCCGTGGTCTTGTCTCATTTATATCCTTTCATCGTGTTTACTTGAGCCATTACTTTTGTGAATCTGTTTCCAAACAAACTTTACTTATAAGACAGAAAAAAATGCATGTCTCTCCTTTATATTCTCCTTGAGCAATTTTATGCACTTGAAAGTTTGTAGGTTTAACTTCGAAGTAATCAGACCATGGAAGGTAGGCAGTAGGGAAAACTGTCTTAGAAAAAAGCAGTTCCATGATTAGACAAATGCAACAAACGCTTCACCAGGCGGTCAGATGGATCTTCTGACCGGTGTCCATGGGCTGAAACGCATTGGTCACAGTAAAAGTGGCAATAGGGCAATAGGGCCGAAGTGGTCAGGGCCGGGAGTGAAGTGGAAATGGGGCGAAGTGACTGTAAAGCACGCAGACGACTTACCGAGAACCAGGATGTTTTTGCATGACGGCAACTTCGAACCAGAATGAGACGAAACCTCACCTAAAATTGACGACCTGAAAAGTGAAAAACACCAAACGTTAGACAAGACAAAGCTCAAGCTGACACCATGAGAAGTTCGCAATCGAAAGTGAACTTACCATAAATTCTGCAGCTCGTCTTCGCCGTTTTCCATGCCTGATGATCGGGCTCCACTTTTTTCGCCGACCGGCGCCATCTTGGATTCGTACGAAATTCCCGGATGAGACTTTACGTCATTTAAATCTCGGTTAGGGTTTCGATACGGCTTCAGCTTGTGCCCCAGAAATGTTTTCAAAATGTACGGTTAAAGAAAAGAAATACACCCAGACTTATGGCTTAAAAATATTCGGGGATATGTCTGGCGTACAAAACTAAGCGGTATCGAGGGATGGGGTCTTAATCCACGGGACGAATTCTCAAAAAATAATCCAATGTGAAAATGATAACAAGGTTTAGAAACCTCATCTGCTCGAAGTGACAGGAGAGGGCGCCCTGACAACATTATCATGTGGTTGTGTGATCGACACACCTTTTGAAGGCGTGGCTCGCGATTTGTTTTTGGTTTGAGCATTAATGTGCAGGAGTCATTGATTTAATTTCAGCGCTCATTGTGGAAATAATCAAAGAGTAATCGCCAAACTTTATGATTCCGGAAAGAGTATTTGGGTCTGAGGAATAGCTCAATCATGTTTAGGTTGTCTGTGGCTGTCAGTTATGATATAACAGAAATAGAACAGTTCTAAAAACCACATCAGAGAAAACGAAGATGCAAACTGGTTCTCTAATAATAATGGGACCAAAATCATGTTCAAGATTTTGAATTCCAAAATTAATTACTAGCACAGGGTCTCCTTCTTGGTAACGAGCGTGTCTTAGTGATAAAAAATTCTTGGCTGAGGATGCTCACATAACCTCTTGGCCTATACTACTTATCTTCAAGAGCACAGTCCCCTGCACCCCAGCCCCCAAAGCTCCACCCATCCCCCTCAATTATCTACTCAAAGATTATACGATTCATTGTTCATTCAAACAACCCCAATGCACCATGCATACACTTAAATAGATTTTTTTTTTCGGATCAAAGGTTAGACGAAGCAATGTTGGAGGATGGAATCATAACGATAATGGCGAATTTGCTTCGAGGTCAACCCATTTTTGTTCGCGAAAAAAATGAAACCTACTACAGAATAACGGACGCCTTTCCAGCTGTGTGAACACTCAAGCTGAAGGTGATTTCGTAACCGTTCTCGACACTGCTACTGCGAAATCGACGACGACTAAAAAATTCAAAATAGGCCAATGATACAACCTAGATTCAGTGTTAGTCATGTCTCCAGCATTATTAATCCAGAATCCTTTTTTTTGGGGGGGGTGAATTTTTTTGGGGGGGTTGCAAAATGTTTCTTTCCGTAGAATTTTTCCAGCCAACCTTCAAGTTATACAGCCTTTCCCGAGGAGTGATGCCACGTTCTAGGGCTTTTACACGCTGCAAATGGGTGATGTGTGTGTTCTCCTCCGTTTCCCCTTCTGTCCTTGCTGATGCTATATCGACGAGCGTAAACGGTTAACAGTCTTCTACTAAATATGTATTTTAAAACGCCCTTATCGTAAAGCTTTGGCAAACGTACTCAGAACGGGCACAGGGCGCCCTCTACTACGCTGAACAATATTTTGGTAACACGCGGTCGAAGTTGTGGTAACGATTGCACGGCAGGCCGGCTGCTTATGCTTCACGTGGGGTCTCTTTGACAGTGAGGCTAAGTTAAATCCTTCTCTTCAATGATTCAACATGAGTGGACACCATACATGTTCATAGGGCTATTGTCAAAATGTCCTCAGGTGTGTCTGAAATATTGGTCTCAGACGATGTCCAGGACCTCAACATCCCTGCGAAGAGACAGAAGATCTGTTACGATGTCGATGATTCAGATTTTGACAATCCGCCTGGCGCAAAGAACGGCAATAAAAGAAGAGACACGACGCCCATTAATAAATGGCGGGAAATTCAAGATGTCCACAGGCCCGACGTGTCACCAAACAAAGTTGCGGAATGCTTGTTTGTTGACAAGAATGTTCCAAAGCCAGTTAACCATGTAAATGAGGATGACCCAGGCCGCACTGATGACGACTTCCGACTACCAGCCTTGAAGATGCCGGAGGTTTTCGATTTTTCGAGTCTGAGCTACGAAGATCGGCGTGATGGCATCTTGAAGATTTTGTTGTACCACAAACCACATCACGACGTCCAGCAAACATTTGCCTACTATGTTGCCGATAACACGTCAGAGCTGAGGGGTTATCAAGCCGTATGGCGATCAGTGGATCTTGCTTGTGACTTGCTGGTTCAGGTAGCATGGCCAACTGTGGGGTTTTGGTTTCTGCATGCTGTTTCATTGAAAATTTACTGTACAAATGAATATGGGGGAGCTTGTGTAGCCTACATGAACGTAAAGTAAAAACAAACTGATGAAGTAGGTGTACATGTATTTACCCAAATTCTTTCCAGAATCATGCCCGAAAAGTTATTTTATGCTATACTTACAACTTTTTTTCTCGTTTGCAGAAGAATGTTCAGAAATGTGAACACAAGTTTAAAATTAAGGCAAAATTGCTAAAGAGCAAGGACATAGTAATTCTTCGGTTACGAGCCATAATTTTTTTCATTTTTTTTATGATTCACGTCTTTCAGACATAGCGAAATGAGTTTTACACCCAGGACAGGAATTTCATGTTTACCCGTTCAAGTATTCTCAAGAGTAGGATGGGATCAGCAAATGAGTGTTCTTGTACACTTCTTAAAAATGATGAAAAAGTGGACGGTTCCCAAAGAATTAGTTACAGAAATTGTTTGCAAAGGGACAGCCTTTCTCAATCACTCCTGTAAACTTAGATTTGTTAAATTTTTTTTGAATTGTCCAGATGGATGTAGTGCTACGGGAGTCGTTTCCAATCATGATGACTGTGGAGAAAGCCGAGCCATTCTGTTGCCTCCCAGGTTCCACCAGTGTTTCTGTCACGGAGGAACAAGTCAATTCTTACCTGAAGGTAATTTTCTTGGGTGAAGGAAGCCCTTCAAAATTACCTGGACCATCGTATATAATAAGGTGTAAATAGAGCACAGGTTAAAATGAAAGTACAAGTTTCAAGCACTACAACATTGTCTTTTTTTCTTTAGCAAGCTCAGTTTGCAAAAATCTTCCTTCTGTAGGATCACAACTACAAAGTGAATGTAATAGAGTTGTTCCCAGTCCATGTTGACTCTGGCGACATCGATGAGGCGGCATTGGTTGTAGAACACACAAGGTACTAAATATGTAAATTAACCAATCTGAATTCAAGTCACAAGCCATTTTAATCAACTGTAGTAAAAAAGCATTCCTTCAGCTTGTTACTGTAGGCCTACTTACATGTATCACTGGTCTTGTGCCTGATCTTGACTAGTGCTGATGAAAGACGGGGAAAACATTTTCATTTCACAGGTCAAACATAAGGCCCTCTTTGTTGCAGGGATAAAAGTTTGTCTTGAAAATTTCTATTTTATTTTTATCTCTTTAAATCAACATTGAATGGCAACTTCACTCTCACAGGTTTTTCTTCACCTACATATGGCGTCTCAGTGACGTTTTCAACTTCATGTATGGAATTCGCAAGTTTGTCCAACACCATTTCCAACCAAGATTGAAACTGTAAGATATGAACTTGTATTATCAGATGGTAACTAAATTTGCATCATTTAGCCGGCCTATTCCAATGTGAGACTGCCCACCTCACTCATTTTGGTGGCCACCTCAGCCTTTCTTGGGGGCAATGTTGCCCATTCGTGCTAAACAAGAAAAGAAAAATCTGAGTAAAAATAACTGAAATGCAAGAATTTAGAGGAATGTTTTACCTTCAGATTATTCTGGCGAAGAAGGCCACGGAATGCATGATTGATTTATTTGAAGGACCATGACATCATAAACACTACTTTGAGGAGATGCCATAATTGCAGTACCATTGTCACTCTCGTGCCCATTCTTAAGCTTAATGTATAGGTGTTGGTCAAAAAGGCACGTGATGTATTTGTAAAACATGGTTTGTATTTCATGGTTAGGACAAGGGCTGCACCACCGCAGTAGGCTAATGGCTTCTAATTTTGATTTTGGAATTAAACTATGGCCGATATTTTAGGCCCTGTTGGTACGTGTATGGTTAAAATATCTCTCATTTGCTGCAGGCCATTGTGTTAATGTATTTTGATTCTTGTTTTTTGCCACCTTAATCTCATCAGGGGGAGCCTCAATCTCAATATCAGGGAGATAATGGTTTGATATTATCTGTGAAACTTTGTTAATGGAACTTGGCACAAGTACATTTTTGGTCCTTGCAGAAGGTTTGATTTAGGAAGCACAAGGACTGACTTAGCTTTGAGTTTCAACTCAGACCTGATTATCCTGGTATTTAAAGATGTAATAGTTTCACTGAAAAACACCTATTAAAGTGCACAAATATGAGCATCAAGTATGGATTTCGTCTGGATGGACCAGTGCTACTAGCTGATCATAAAACCATAACAGAAAGTTCAGAGATATTTACACTGATTTATTCCTCTCTTATGAAGAAGTTCCTCACTTTTTCTTGTCCAGGGTAATCACAATTACATTCAGATGTTTTGTGGAGCCAACTATATGTTTTGCAACCAATTCACTGAATACATGACTCCTCTTATTTGCAGATATTTTGATGTCATGGAGAAAAATGTCTCCCCTGGACTAACACTCAAGTACCAGAACACTATAACAGAATACCAGACAAAGTTCCGAGTGCTCCGCAAAAAGCAAGACTACATAGAAAAGTATGATGAAGTTGGGTACAGTGACACAGACAGTGACAGTGACAAGGATGTTGACCATAATGTTAGCAGAGACAAAGACACAAGTGAAAAGAGTGGGGACAATAAAAAGGATGCTGACAGGCAGAATTGTAACAGTGACAAGGACAATGGCAATACATGTCATACTGATAAAGTTATGGACAGTGACATACGGGTAGAGATTGATGAGCAAGATCAGGGCATTTCCATCGAGAGTGACAAGAACCTAGTCTATGTGGACATGGATGACAGTGACAAACATAAGGAGGACATTGACAGTTTTGGTGACAAAGAGCAAAAGAGTGACCAAGGTGAGCTTGGGGACCACAGCAATAACGGCAAATGTGGCGACATCTCCAAAATGAGGGATAATGACCAGGACAGCCAAACCAGTGACCTTCCTACAAAGACGTTGCCTGAGCTAGAAGTCTACAAGATTGCACAACTGTGGAAGGATATTGAGATTCTGGAAGGAGATTTGGAAATGATGGAGAACCCTGTAATGAGGTGAAACAGGTGTTCTTAGGCTGTGCATCAGAATCACTTGGTTGGCAATAAAGCATTCATCAACAGTGTGTTAACCAACAGTTAGATTGTAAACTCATGTCATAGATGTTTTTCCTCGTCTAGTAATTTGAATCCAAAATTAAATTGTCTTAATGCCTGAATCCATTGGGATATTCTCTCCATATACGATACATTATTTTTGGATTAGTAAAAAGGATTTTTTGTTTTGTGTCATAGGGTGGATGATTTTTGATAACATCCGACTCTTGCCGGTGTTATTCATTCCAAACGGTGGTGCACACTGCAGTTTATATCTCAAATGAAAAATATATGAACTAAAACTCAACACCATGGCTACTTGAACCTTTCTCTATTTTCCACTTTGAAGCAAGGGTTCCTTATTTGTTTTGACCCCCAATTTATGCTTAATCAAATTGTCCATTTAACTTTGATGGAAATTGATGGTTTCTTTCCGTGAATTTTTTATATCCATCACAAGAATGCCCTTTTTAATGCATATTTTACGGCCCTTCAGAAAAGGACTTCTAGTGCCCTGTCACTCTTTTTCAGGCACCTGATGGAGATTCCTAGGGGTGACGTGGAATGGAAGCTGAAGTCGGCTGTGGAGAGTCGTCAAACGCGATGCCACAAGGAGCCAGTAACACACATTGTTGCTGAGAAAATTACTCTTGGCATGATGCAGGTTGGTATTGCTAAATTGATTATCCAGCTTCAGGGTGGAAAATTTTTGTCTACATTAAAATTTGGAATTGCAGAACAACACTATATTCAATTTCCCATTGTTTGCCTTTCCATGCCTTTCTTTCATTGGATAGCTTTTCTTTGCCATACACTTTTCGAAGTGTGCTTCAGAATACATACATGTCTATATGTTTGGAGTGATTGGTCGAGATGCATGATTGCTCAATCTTAGTGAAAGAAGTCAATCTTTAATTTATATTATACGATTTGCCAACAATTCAACATCAGCCAATCATTTTTGTTCTAATTTACGGTTGAGAAATATTGTTTCAAAAAAAGAGCAGTAAAGTTGCAGATTTCATACAGGGTTGACCAATTGCACAGATTGGGCCCGTTGCGCAGATCGGCAAATTGCACCCAATGTTACTGATTCGCAAAGCAGTGATGAGTCCCCTGCCCAAAATTAATTCTATGTTACAGTCGACCCTTGTTATAAAGAATACTATTAAAAACAAAATACTCTTATAAAGAACAAATTTTGAGAATTCTTGTTTTTCCTTCTTTTCCACTCCCCTTTGTGAAAATGAGGGAGTCAACTGTAACTGTTATGATTCCTTTCTCAGTTGTTTTTTGACCTGAGTACTTCCCAACGTATCCATGAAGTGGGCTCACAATAATGCCTGCACTTGTGGCATTATATCCTAATCGGATCTCTTTAAACATCTGTGAATAATTGTTTTCAACTAAGCAATTCGACAACCCCACCCCCCAAAAAATCTGTCATAGGACCTTCAGCTGCCTGAGGAGACAGTAGTAGAGACGCATGCCACACCCGCGTCAGCTGTAGCCAGTTGCTATGACGATGACACTATTCTCATTCTGCCCGGGACCTACCCTGGAGACGGTCTCAATAGCATTGTACGGTCTGTCACAATAAGAGGTAATATTGAGTTGGATTTACAAATCCGTAAGTCCTTCTCTTTAGCAGTTGTTAAGTTAAGGAACATTTATGACCCAACCTGACAAAAGGAGTCACAACAATGCATGTAGCCCATTGTTTGGCATGCACATGGGTGTATCCACTACGAACACAGGGCGAGGGCTCCCCATTTTTCTGTTTTCTCTGAATGACGTATTTTACATTCAGAATTCACATCTTTGTATGAACAGAAAAAAGCATGTTTAAGTTTGCAATATTTGAGCTCTGAAGACAAAGGACACTACATTCAATCTGGATGTTTCCGCATTTATTTGAACAGACAAAATCAGAGAAAACATGTTTTCCTTAGAGGTGCTCTTTATGAGCAGTTTTACTGGCCAATTAGAAATATAAATGAGTTGTTGTTAGGTATTGGAGGTCCAGAGGATGTTGTGATCGTCAGCAAGTGTCGAGATCCTGAAGATGACTTGTTTGTAGGCTGTTGTGGTCGCAGTCTCTCCATGAGCAACATGACCTTCATCGATCAGAGTGACTCCACCCACTTTAGGGGACTCCTTGAGGTGGTCTCTGGGTCAACACAACTGACCAACTGCCGGTTTCTCTGCAGTTCCACTGGAGTGGTTGTAACCCATTGTCATTTGGATATCCAAGACTGTGAAATCTACGGAGCTCAGGTAAGTGCATTCTTGTTCATAGAAGAGTTGTGCAAAATTCTTCAATCTATGCCAACAGAAAACACTATTAGTCCTTTCCTTCACAAATATTTATATGTACATGTCCAAAAAATGCCTTTATATCAGGTAAATGTTCTCACGAGTTACCCACTGAAAATCGGGATTTTAAAAGAAATAATTCGGGATTTAAAAAGTATTGTACACTTGACACAATATAATCAGACATTCACAAAATCATGGGAATGCTGTGGCAAACTGAGAGGAAATGTTTCCATTTTATAGAGTGTAGAAAAACATTTAGAATTCATTGAGAGCTTTCTAAAAACCAAAGTGGCATGATTTTTTTTTCACCAACCAGGCCCCAGGCCTCCATGCATTCCAAGGATCCAAACTCCACGTGAAAGGCTGCTACATCCATGATTGCGGCAAGGGCAGCGAGACGGTAATGGCGGAGGATATGTGCGGAGTCCGTATCGATGTATGTTTCCCTGTGATCTACCCAAAGTACAGAAGTTACTTTAAAGTTGGTCATGCAGTGGTGAACACTGGGCACTGGTGGATTTCAGCTTTTGGCGATAGTTCATGGCTGTGTGATGTTTGTGCATTAAGCAAGCTTAACAGACTGGTGTGACAGTCATGTGTGAACTGGCCCAATCATGAAATGTTAGGTCAATCTCCATATCAAAGTTCAGTCATCTGACCTCTGTAACGACGTTGTCTGGGTCTTTCGGGGACTGGTTGCATTTGCTTTAGCACAAAAATATAAATTGCATTTCGAAATATCTCACATCAATTTTTCATGCAACCAACATGTCATGTGAAAAGAGGCCTTTACTCAGGAGAAGGGAGGGAGAAGTTATCATTTCCCACCTGAGTTGCTTATATCGAGTCATAGCCAATCAGCAGCCACTGTTCTGGGCTTGTCTTGTGTTGGTGTTAAATACCTCTGAAACCAACAGGTTGTTTTTAACATCCTGGTGAATGTATGTGCCCTAAAGATTGAGTAATGCTTGCTGTATGAGCCAAGGTGTTGTACGTGATACACCATTGCAGATGGAACATTTCTCGTGATTGTCTAGTTTTAATTCCCGACCTTTGATCCTTCTTATTTATTCTTTTGTAGTTTAGATATTTTGGTCAGACATTTCTGTATATTTCACCTCCCAAAGGTCACTTACCTGGGCTCACTGTATTTCCTAACTAACAGCGATTGAAATATTTGTCTCTAAAGAAAACATCTCCCAAGTATTGCTTTGTTGCATAATGATTTGAAAATTAACACAGATGAGACAAAATTAGGCCAAACTTTCTTGAAAGTCTTCATCGCTTGGAAATCATGTAAGTCAAGTTCTCAGTAATGTTTTGTAATCCCTCTTTTGTTATTGGCAGTGTAAACTGAACCCCTTCATTTGCAAAACAATAGGGATTTGTTTCTTATTCATCACAGTCCCTACAACAGCTGGAACGAAAAGTTCCCAGAAGCAGTACATCAGTGAACATCCAAGGCTGTAAGATTCAACGCAGCGCTGGACCGGGGCTTCTACTCAAGATTTACTCTTTGGACAAACAAGAGGTGGCAAAGACTACTGACCTCAGTGACCTTTGCTCTCTGACCTGCCGTGACCTTCAGGTCACTGACAATGATTTCAGTGGAAATGCCATGGGTGTGGCTATGATAACATACTATAAATTAAAAGAATGGTGATTACAAAACAAGACTAACAATTAAAAAAGTAACTCGAAAAAAAATACTCTGTAATTGTTCCAAATTTATTGCATTTTCTTGCAGTTATTGATAGCATGTTTAGGAGCTCATGAATGATATAAAATATGTTCTTAATAGATTTATAGCTTTATTGTTCAGAGAAATAATGATAAATGTGGAACAACAGTTTGATACAACCATTTTGCCAGGCGAAAACAGTGATTGAATTTGCAGATACTCACCCCCATAAAAAGTGGAAAAATAATTCATAAAAGGTGCAAATATTACTCACAAACAATGTAAAGAGGAACAAACAAATTTACGTAAATAACAAGCAGTCTAACCCCCCGCCAGAGTTTAAGAAGCCATTACTAGGATGGTCTGACCAGACCAACAGGCAGGTGATATGCATACGTCCTTCACACTTCAGGTGTACCTTTCCAAAATGTACACTTCAAGGGGTAAAGGTGTGAACTAGCATTCGAGTGAATTTCACTGTAGGAATGTCATCTCCTTGGCAAATTTACTGCTGCATTTGAAGATTTTGACAAGAAATCATGTACTTCGACAGAAAGTAGATGCAGCAATCTTGCTGCTTACTCAAAGTTGCTCAAAGGTGTGGCTTAAGCTATCAGTTTATATTTACTGAAACCCCGCCGTTTTGTCATGGCATGTCTGGTTTGGGGTTTCAGGTTTCTGCAACGTTTCAAATGTACACTTGCATTCTAAAAAGGAAAACACAGACACACACTCAGAAAAAAACCAGAGCAACTCTTGCTGTATGTTTGAAAGTAAATTAAACTCGAGTCTTTTGGACGTGCACGGTATAAGCTCTTTATGAAGTACATCTGTGTTGATAGAAACGAATGACTTTATTTTGGTTGAAATATTTCGTTTGTCAGATCGTTGAAATTGTGAAAAACTTTCAATAAAAACTCTCCAAAACTTGAACATGTATTAATCTCCGAGTTGTCCTTGCTGCATTGATGAAATTTAAGAATGTATGAATACTTTTTAGTTGCACACGATAACTTTTTTGGGAGGGGGAGGACACGAATGTAAATTTTGACTTCTCTGTGGAAAATACATATCTTTCAAGTTTCACACAGGATTCTGGAACTTATAATAACGAGCTTTGTTGCTGGATACTTTTGACACTTATGTAATTCATAATCATATGAATAAACCAAGGATGAATATATATCAGATATAGGCTTAATGGATTTAACTAAAAATAAAACTCGTGTGACAGTCAAATCTAACTACGGTGCCGTAAGAATGTATTTAACATTATTTTTGCGTATTAAAAACAAAACCAGTTTGCATAAATACATGTGTTTCAATACGTATAAAAACCTCTTCACTTCGGAGACGTATTAATTATCGCCTCACACACAATATATATATTTTTTTCTCGAACATACGTGAACTTGAAACTCGCGTACGTACTCGATACTGTCACGTACATGCACTTACGTGGTAGTTTTAGCGTCACGCACGGACGTGACAGTTTCACGTACGTGCCTGTCAGCTTCATGTACGTATGTGATAGTTTCACCTACTTGCGAAAAATCTATTACGTGCGTACGCAGAAAATATTGCTTTTTTATTCGAGATTTTATTCTTCAATGCGTATATCGTGCTGTCATCCGAGACAACTGTTACCCACTGTGGACTTCTGTCATGCCCTTCATTAAACATCACCTTCATGTCCCTTGAGTTTCCACAACATTCCCCTGGGGGTTTGGATCAAATTCCTTTTCTTTTTGCTCCCAAAAGCCTATGAAACTTTTATTTGTATTTATATAGGTCCTCATGTCACACACCAAATACCGGACCACCAATGAAAAATCCCCTTTTATTTTCAAACTGAGACTGAGTTCTCCCATACATCAAAATATATGATCAAAGGAATTATAATGAGAGTGCCTAACCAGGATTGAAGAAAACCCGATTTGAAGTTGAACTGCCGGTATCGAATCTTACAAAATAGCCTACGCATCTTAAGCTAGACTTGCTTACGGTGTGCAACGAAACTATGATTTATTTTGCTCATGAAGACAAAATGTTTGACCCAAAGGGACTTTTACCCAGATCCCATCACAAAGGCTTGCTACAAACCCTTGTTCATGTGTTCATCTTCGTAAGGATTGCTCATTAGAGCAATGTACGGCAAACCGAATTTGAAATTGGCGACGCTGTCGTTGGGCCAGTAACGTAGCACAGGCCCCAGCTCGACACATTCGCTCGTAGCGTCGAAGTAGGCAAAGAGAACCACGGAGTAGTAACAAGCCACCAAGCTGAAGACATGCCAGAAGCTGTGGAGGTAGGGGAAAGACACAAAGAGCCAGAAATCGCACAGGGTGCGATCGGCAATCCAGCAGGCAATGGAGATTCCCCACATGATGGCATCGGCTCGAAATATTTGGTCTACTCGCTGATTCTTCAACCTGAATTTAACCAGATTTTATCAAATGACAATGAATATATCAGGTAACATTTTGTACAATTTAATAAGTGCTTGAACCTTTTTGGTCGATTAAATGCACGCAACAAAACAGAATATAAGTATCACTCACCTAACGCTCACCGTTGCTACGGTCAAGGTGGTCAGAGCACCCGTCTAATTAATACTCTAAACTGAAGGTTGATTTTACAGTTGCAATTTTCGCACGACCATACTACTGGCCGAAAATACACTCATTGATAGGCCTCCTACAAAACTTCTGAGCGGGGGTGGGGGTGGATGGGGCCACTTTCCCCGTTGGCTGGGACTCTTACCCCCTTTACCCCGTCTATGTACCACTATACACCACTGATACAATGTACATGTAGACCTACCCAATTTTCTGCATGGTTGCCACCTCCGTGTCATTACCCAACCCTGATTCTGTACCTGGGAATTAATTCCACGAATAAAAACCGAGAAAGCAATCGTCACCCCCTGTCCTCAAAGTTCCCCATTCCCCTAATGCAGACAATGAAGAAGATGACTTGCTCTTCTTTGAATCGCTTATCATCTTCCTCTTACCTTTTAAGCTCAAGATTAGCCGTCCAGAATCCCGGAACGACGAAGGCTAGAAGTAAGAACGAGTTGAACCACGGCTTGATGAAAGCAAGCATCGTCCCGCAAAGCGTTAATGCAAACACCATTCTGCGGAAAAGCTTTCTGAAAATAATGCAAATTTTAAACACCTACTGTATAAAAATTTAATAAAAATTTAAACAAACACTCTTTTAAACAGTGCACATAAAAAACCTTCTTTCAAATGTTAATTAAACAAGGTTGTCTAAATGTTAGATATCTATTTAAATATGTTATTATTTTATGTTCCCAGTCGCGCTGTTTGAAAGTTAAACAACACTCGTCAATATTTGAGCAAGGATGTTCATGATGAGCTCTATTTAAACAGCTTTTGTTTGAAATACTTTTACCTTTTATATATAGTTTCACCTCTTGTTAGTTACTTCACTGGTATTTCATTGTCTGACAGTCTCGTTTTATCAAAGACGATTTATGGAGCAAAATTTACATACTCGTATGGTTTACCGCTCGAGCGATTTTAAAAGCTTTACTTGAACTTCGCCAGACAACCAGCACCGGGGTAGACAGCTAATTCATTAATTTTGGTGACTTCCAAGGTGTTTCCGAGGTCACATGTTTGTATATGTCTTTCTTGAATCTTTGCATATTTCCTCTTTTTGAAGAACTAAAAAACGATCGTTGTCGGGATAGGCAGAATGTCCACCATAATAGAAAATGAGAACCTCACAAAGCAGTTTGCGTGCATATTAATGTATCCTTCGGTTTTCTGCTTTACCTCGAATATATCCGAAAATGAATCCTCCAAATTGTCAACCGTAAACCGTAACTGTGCGGACGGGGACATTATGTACGTGTACATTTTCACTCGTTTAACACTGGACTTTAAGATTGTAACCATCTTGTTTTTGAGTGGAGCTATATGCGATACTGTTAGCGTTCATACACGAGATATTACTGCACATACCTGTCTCCCTTCAGTACCCTGGGATAGTATCTCCTCGGAAACCAGAGTCCCGCCCCTAGGGACAACGCCCACAAAATGGCCACCTCATCTAGCAATTGCCCGACCAGACTTAAAGTGCAGTGGAAGTACGCGGAAAACGCCCCAACCACCATCAGCAAAACCCACATCAGTTTTATATAGGGATTGATGCAACGGGCGTACTCCTTACAGAGCATCCACATGATGGGCGGGAACACAAAGAAGACAGCGTTACTAACCTGGAGCAAGAAGAACAAGGGAATCAGTGGCGATTGTAAACTTAAATAAACTGATATCTAGTTTTGTTAACCAGTGGTTCACGGTGGGGGTGAAATGGGGGGGGGACCGGGGTGCAACTTTGGGGAGGGGGCACTGAAAGCAAAATAAAGTACAGCCTGTATATATGTTGTACATGTATACAGATTTCATATGGGCATTAGGGGAGTACCCACTGCTTTACGCTGTTGCTTCAACACGGAATTTAAAGAATTCGAACAAACTACTTTTTAAAATATGAACGGAATGTTAAAACGGAGATGTCTTACAAACAACGAAGAATATACTTTTGACTTGTCAAGAGTCGTCTCAGAAATAACGGCATTGGCGAGGATCAAATGTATAGGTGGGCGGACCATATAATGTGGATAGAAATATGTCACACCAACTTTTAGTTTTACAATTTCACGAGCAACGCCGAAATTTTAGACCACAAATGCAGAAAAGTACACCGATGAAAAGGTTGATTTTAGAGCGAATAATAAGGATATTAACGATACACTCTTACACTGCTTGCTACCAGTCAAGGAGATGGTCACATCATTAGAATAAGATTGTTTTGGCAGGAAACACAGATATTTTCAATTTGACCTTATACTCAAATTTGAAGCTAAAAAAGTCACATTTTTCATATTCCAAGGCACTCCCATTTTCAGATAAAGACTAAATATTTCAAAGATAACCCAATTAATGTTCAAGCAAATGTAAACCTACTTACAGTGTTGTAAAATTCAGCCACAAATGGAGAAATGGAGTAGTTATCCTCGCACCAATCAACATCAGCACTGCCCCAACTCATTCCCTTAAGCATCGTTGAATCTAAATCGTTTTAAGATATGTTGAAGATGATTTTGTACACAAAATAAGGCAACCGTAGTTATGGTTAAGAATGAACTGGAAATATAACATTCACAGATTAAAGGTAAACTGGTGAAAATAGAAAAATGGATAAGATCCGACTGCTGTCAGTGGCGTTTGCTTCAATAATGCCATCAGTAAAACCGCTTGGCTTGACCAAAGCCGGCCGTTGCTTTGACGTTGCATCGATCGGGTTTACGTTCCTGAATTCGCTACATTGATTCCTGTATCTTATGGACAATCATCCTGGTTAGCTCGCACAATAGATGTCAGGATACCACATTACGTCAAAGAGAATCGAAGTCCATTCGTTCACGAATCTACAGTTCCGAGTCTGCACGCAGAGAACCGGCAGTCCCGAGTTCTTGTCACTCTCACTGGTAATTCTGTGATGGGTAAACACATAACGTTGTTCCGTTCATTCACATGTACATGTACAAGGCTCTCTGGCGTATTTAGCACGACCAAACCTGACGGCATTGTATCAAAGAAAGCTTTCTATTCCAATAATTACCTAATGCTTTGTAAACAATTGTTTAATTGAAAAATACTTTTTGCTTGCTTTGCCTACTGGATTTTATTTTACGTTTTTGTAACAGAGTGTAGGCCCACAATTGGAATGATGATACTGTCATGCAGGCCCCTTGTCAAATGTTTTAGTATGGCAAATAATCTCCATAATATTTACGTTCATGCACTTAATGCCCTGTCAACGTGATTTGGGGGGGGGTTGGAATGCCTCATTACACCCTTCAGTTTCTGTTTATTTGACAGGTGGTTGTCAGAAACCTACCAGTGGAAGAACGTCCTTCCTGACGTGCCTGAGGACCCGAGTAGGTCTTGCCAAATAGTCTGCATGGGACATCACAAAGCAGTATATTCTCCTCGTGTTTCAGCTCTGGTGAAAGAAAAACCCTATTCCATAAAATATTCCAAAAAGATCTTGGCTTTCTCTCTTTTGTCGTTGAATTAGGTTCTACAAATAATGTTTGCGCGCATAAAACGACAAAAAGTAAGCAAGCACTTTCTGAACGTTAATACTCGGTCTTCACTGAATTTTGGACTTAAACTGAAGCTTTGCGTCGTGATTATACATGGAACACGACCATCATTTGATTACTACTGCAACCTACTGTCGACCCTTTTCAAACGCGCATTGGGTCGACAGATTTTGCACACTATGATTAGTCAACGCGTTGCAAAGTCATGGAGGCGCGTTGTTGTGAATCGCCCGATGTAAGACAGAGAGAGCAAGTTTGCTTTCCCATCGGCATTGTTGATCGACACTGGATAGTACGACAAAGTTGATCGGTCCCGTCTGAACCGGAGTAAGGTCCTAATGAATTTCGGCAGGTGGCCATAGTCACTTGTCGAGGATGAAATCTAGCTTAGTTTACCGTTTTTTCCTCTCTTTTTTTGTGCAATAAACCCTATTACTGCCGCAAGGTCAAGAAACTGAGGGACGAGAGCTGTATTATGGCATCATGAAATCGCTTGATTCGTTTGTGGCCCTCAACGACGCATTTCGATTTTTTAAATATTCTCTAAGCATTCTTGCTGTAGAACTGAACTCCCCAAATGGTTTTCTTAAAAATGCGAAGAGAAGCTACCACGTTAGTCATGACATTGATCTTCAAGATAAAGTAACTCGTGTTTTGGGTCTTCTGGCGTAGGCCTACAAGAAATTGGCAGCAGACCATTCTCATTTCAACTACAACTTGTATGGGCGGCCAAATATCACCTTGTGATTGGTGTTCGACCATCTTTTTCGTTCAAAATGTGCATTTTTCCCTGACGAGGGCTGTAGTTTCGTTCAGTAGCAGACCCTACGTGTATCGAAGGGCGTCAATCCGTTTTGAAAAGTGTGTGCAAGCGTGTCATACATAGTGTGGACATCTGCACAAAAGAGGTCCACATAATGCAGGATTCGATGGCATTTTGCGGACTTGCACACGTCCACATAATGTTTTCCCCTCTCTGAAAAAAAAGGTTTAAGAGGCATATTAGGGTCTAGGTTATTTGAGGCAAAATGAAGAGGTAAAGTCCAGGAAATCATCATAAAAAATCCAGCTCGAAGGAGTTATCCTAGTTGGAGAAAAAGCAGCATTTTCCTCAAGTTTTCTTAACTACAGGAGAACAAAGGAATGTCCACACTTTACATGTATGTTTGTATGTGTGTTTCGAAATGTGGTGCCTTTTTAGAGACCCAGGAGAATGGGTCGAATAGGTCTCCACAAGGAATTTCTGAAGGTGTATAGGTCTCCACAAGGATTTCACGAAACTGATATTTGGCAATCGCTCAAGAGGAGAAATTTTTAATGCGTAACAATCCGTCGCAAGTTGAAGTGTTTCGAATGAGGAACATTCATGTCAAAATTTCAGTCCAGGAGAGTGATTCATGTTGAAATGGGAGCATTTGAAAACATCGTTTCACACGCGACACAGTTACACACTAATTTCGGTAAGTTGGTTTGAGTTTGTTTCTGCATTCAATTGGGGACC